AATATCTGCATGATAGAGCTTGTCATCACTGGCAAAATAATACAGATCAGGTCCTACATATATAAATAAAGTTAAACAAATGGGCTATAATCATTTTAAAATACTGTAGGGAAAAAAAATCAATACATCACGAGCAATAACAAACGTCCAATTTCCCAATGTGAGTCCAGCTGGTTGATTCTTTGATCAAACTGTTCATACATTCATCATTACACCTAAACACAAAAGTGTACTTTGCAGAGATGTCGTAATAATTAGAACAGAAAACACAGTTTCACATAAATTCAATTCCTCTGAGGTCGATTCCAGAAAACCCCTTTAAAACATCAACTGTAGGGAACAATTACGGCGTTATTCTAAAGAAACTAAGTTAAACGATCACTTACAAAAACTAAAGAATCGACAGAGCTGCCCATAAAGAAAATTTTGGGTTGCAAATTGCAATTTCACCAAGAAACAAAAGAGCCATAATAACAGCCATCTTATTCAAAAGCTTGTCATTATTATTTCCATTCATTTCAGGAAAGATTCCCTGATCTTGCTGGTTCATTGTAACTGTAGACAGCAGCAGACATCACTTGCTCAGACATTGTAGAGCTCAGTTCTTGGCAAAACACCTGCTAAAACGCTTCACCTTCACCACCAGGTGATTTTAAACTCATAGATGGGCCTTTTGCAGTAGTAGTGGTTGATGAGGTGTTTGTCACACACGCCAATGCATTGCTGGTCAGCAGAGATGCCACGATCTGCCAGGTCACTCACTATGCAGTGAAGAAGGTCATAAACATCAGCCACTGCCTCCCAGGGCCCAAAGGACACGTCAACCTCACAATGGTGCTCAAACAGCTTGGCCTCGCTCTCCGAACGCTCAAACCGCAGCGAATTGAACAGCGGTCTTTCATAAGGGGTGATGGGCATCTCCTCCTTGTACACGCAGATCTTCAGTTTCGCAAAGCGAGCCTTCCGCTGCATGGCACGAAGTTTTGCGATCTCCACAATGCGCTCCAGATTTTCTGGAGCAAAATGGAACAATGTTTAGTTAAATGAAAACAACTTTTTTATGCATTTTCTTTATATTTTTTAGGGGTGTAACAATATATTTTAATATCGCAATACAAAAAAGCAGAAGTGCCAATATGTTTATGTATAGTTCACCCAAAATAAAAGTTTACATTTATGGTAATGACCAGGGCCATGCCAAGCAAGGAGCGGGGCCCAGTGCGAGTTATGCCTGGTTCAGATTACACGATTTTAGCCCAGTTTTGGCACGATCCATTTGACGTAGGGTGTCGTGGGGAATCGTAAACGACAACGGGCGTCGGGACGCAAGATTCGATCGTATCATCTCATATAGTGTGTCATAGTGGGCGCCAACCTACGTAGCGTCTGCGATGCTTCACGACATCACGACAAAAAGAATAGCATGTTTAATTTTTTTAACGGTCGTCCATGACGGTTCCGTCACATGCATGAGGTTGACCAATAGGAGCAGAGAAGCTTTTCCGTAAACTTTCAAAAATGGCGAAACGAAAGATAGACGATGATGCTAACGTTAAAACTAAAAGAAAAAATATATAAGAAAACAATATTTTACCTCAAGTTCTCTTTGGAGGATTGAGCCTGTACTGTCCTCTTCGAGCAATCCAGGATCGGGTTTTCTTTCTTTTTTTACTTTTTTCTGAACACAGGACAGCCAATACAACACTCAACGCTTCATCCATTTCTGGAAGTCACTTGCTACTAGTTTCGCCTTCTCGATGACATCACGCGCGTTGTTAAAGACGACATGCGATGACTGGTCAGGAAGCAACGTGTAGTCTGACATGCGTCTTGTCCACGACAAGATTTTAGGAGTCAAAATCGCGTAATCGGACACAGTGACTATCGTAACAGACAAAAAAATCGTGTAATCTGAACCAGGCATTAGAGGAAGCGGGGCTCCCCTCAGTCGCGATCGCCGTTTACCATATGTGCTACAAGTAATAATAAAAAAATATACTATTTTTACGCTGGCTTTGTTCAGAGTATCGTGAGAGTACCGTACCGTCATTATCGTGTATCGAACCGAATCGCGACATGAGTGTATTGTTACACCCCTAATTATTTTATTTTACCTTTATAATAGGGCAAGAGATCAAGAAAAGCCTGTCGCACTTTCTCTCCGGTAAGTGGCTGCGTGTCTTCAAGGCTTTCCAAAAGAGGCCCAATAGCATAATACTGAGCTTCTCTGTGCACCGCACGAACACGTTCCCTCTGAGGCAGCTCACCTTCTCGCAAGAAATTCAGAATATCCCTAAAGCCAGAGAAGTGTATATATAAGCACTTCTAATAAGCATGCGATTTTAAACTGGATATCGAGCAGTTATTTAAGTCCTCCACTGATGAAATAATAAAAACAAAAGCTAAATTCAGATAATCATCATGTTTGCTTTGTATTTTTGGGTACTAGGCTCTAAACATAATCAGATATTCACTAAACTAAACACTAACCCAAAATATGCTCCATCTCGGTCGATGAAATATCGTCCCTCTGCATCCCGAGGAATGTGGTGGCGGCCACTAAACATGGCGGCCAGCATAGTGTCCTCATAACGTCGCAGAGTGGACAGCCGAGTGGTGAAATATGTTCCTCCTACATTCAGGGGGATGACCTCGGGGAACTATGGAGAGAGTAACAAAAATATCCTTTACATTAGTCTGAATGTACACAACATCTCAAAGTTTGGGTTTAATGATTTTCATGAAGGTCATGAAGGCTGCATTAATGCAGTAAAATAAATAAATAATATGATAAAATTACTGTTATCTATTTTAATAGCTTTTAGAATGTAACTTATTTCTGTGATGGCAAAGACATGTCATGATTCTTAAGTGTCACATTATTATTAATGTTGTAATATTTGGTAACGCTTTTTACCCATGTATACTATGTACTTATTTTAGTAACTACAATTACTGGGTAATAACTAGTACTAACCCTGAACCTACCCCTGTTCCATGTACTTACCTTATATTAGCCAGTACTTTCTAGGTAAGTACACTGTAAGTACTGTACTGTAAAAGGAAGCGTTACCGAATATTTTTGTGAAAAATGGGATATCTGTTCAGGATTCTTTGATAAATAGAAAGTTTAAAAGTACAGAATTGGTTTCAAATCGAAATGTTATGTGACATGATAAATGTATTTACTTGTTTTTATCAATTCAGTACACATTTCTTTCAAAAACAGATAACATATTTCACTGTAATGAGGATAATCATTATGCACCAGCCAGCAGGACTGAGACGTGTATCGTTAGCGTCTTCTGAACTTTTGAAACATTACCAACTAAATTAAATGTTGTTAAAAGTTTAAATTCTCTTAAAACCCGGGTGATGGACTAAGCGTTTATCATCAGCAGTCTCCAAAACGCGATTAGTTTAATCCAGTTGCTATGATTTGATTGACATGTGAAGTGAACCAATCAAAGGCGACGTTCACCCGCCCCACTGGGATAAAGGACCAATCAGATTGCAGTCATCGGGAAGCAAACACACTCAATGCATCTGTTGCCTATGGAAACGGTTATGATTAAACGCAAAACGCTGGGAAAGTACACTGTTCCTCCAATAACGTTTTGGAAAAAGAATCACATTGGGAAAAACGCAGATGATAGTGGACATTTCATATATCACACTTATAGTACAACAAACTACTCCGTGGTGATAATAATAGCACATCCTCATTAAACCTCGGGGACTTACCTCCTCAGGTGCGTCTAAAGTGCGAAGGGACTTCCCCAGATTAAGATTAGGGACAGGTATGACAGGTTTGCGATACTCCTCTTCCCCGATGTCCGCGCCAGACATCACATCTCCCTGATTTTCAGAGTCACTCGCAGGCGAAAACACCACCATCACTCTCGGCTGAGGAGGGACCGTCCGCCCCTCCTGCGCGAACCTCCTCACCCGTGATGTTGCCATTTGGAGCGGAGCTGCTGCGCTAAAGGAAAGCGGAGGCGGTTCTCCGTTTGTTTCGCCTGCTCCATTATGCTGCATGCACACACCACACCACAGCAGGTTTGATAATAGTTTAGATTCAGGCCCACGCGTAGACTGTCAGCGATTGTTTTATGATGTACAGGTCTGTGTACAGGAGGGCTGGAGGACGGCAGGGTTGCACTGCACACCCCGCGCGAGAGGCGTGGTCTACAGGCTGATCAGGTGGGTGTGAGACTGCTCTTGTGCTCGGTAAAGCACGTACGCAACTTGCGTAGGTGACAGCGCTACGCCTGGAATGTTTTCAGCTGTGTACTCCGTCACTTGCGTAAACAGAGAGATTTACAAACGAGCGTAACTTGTGTACACGTAGTTCATCAAGCTTCACTTGTATGTAGGGCAGAGTTTAAATTAGTTATATAAAATATACACACAATATATATATATATATATATATATATATATATATATATATATATATATATGCATTATTTGTAACCTGTCACCTCTGATAACACTCTGAATTGTAATGTACACATGCATCTAAAGCTGCTTTGAAACTATTTTTAAAAGCACTATACAAATGAAAGTGAATTGAATTAAATTTAGGAAGCAGTGCATTACCAGGATAGATTAAGTGCTTTTGTATATGTGTCCCCAATACATTTAATAACATTTATAATGCTAAATTTCTACGTAATAGAATTTTATTAGGGCCCTTTAAATTTTGCCCATTTAATTTGATATATTTTTATTCGCCGGTCATTCTCTAGTGCCCACAGAGCTGAAATAACAGTTTTTTTCATTACAATTAAATGCCTATGGTTACATTATCTAAAAACATATTTTAGTGATTCATTTTTGAAGTAATAATTTACTAAGAACTTCTAAGAATAATTTTCCCACTGAGTTACTGTACTTTATTCCGCGATACTTTGACCTGTACTATGTAATGAATAAATAAATAATTTATGAATGAATATAAATGAATAAATAACAAAAACTATGTTTCGTTTAAAAAAAATGAATTGTAGGAATGACCCAAATCCTAGTCTTGTGATGTAACACAACCTAAACGCTTCACCAATCGCTTTCATGGAAATAGTATTCTCGCACGGCATTGGCCAAATTGTACTCAACCTGAAAAGAAGGGCAAATCTAATTGGTCACTTTGCCGTTCACGGAAACAAAAATGACTTGTTTTAGGTGATCTCTGCGCAATGGCGGAGGTCAGACACCGGTTCGGGAGAGAAGCTTACAAGCGTTTAAAACGGCATAATCTCCCGCTTTTGGGTAAAGACTATAAACCCGTCTCACAGGCAGCTTTAACTCTGTGTGTGAATGACCGTTTTCGCGCTGTTAAAGGACTGTGTGAAGCCAGCCCGGTAGTTCTGGAGACTGCAGAAGAGAATGTAAACAGACTCTTTACCCACTTCACGGGTGATAGTGGAGATACACATAGCATGAAAGTACTGTTCAACCTCTGCTCTGGAAATATTAGTAAACGGAATGCCTGTCATGGATTGAAGTCAGTGCACGTGCCGTCCTGGAAGAGCTCGAGTTGGGGTGCACATGGAAAACTTCATAAAAAGACTCTCTGTGGAATTGTAAATTCTCAGTTTGTGTATTTCACCAGAGCTTACAGTGCCTCGCAAAATAACGGCAGTCGAGCTGGGCCACTATACAAATCAAAGTCTGGTTATTATGATGTTTTGGGAGTCTCTCCAACAGCTACGCAAGCTCAAATCAAGACTGCTTACTATAAACAGTCCTTTATATATCACCCGGACAAGAATGCAGGGAGCGAGGAGGCCACGTTCATGTTCTCTCAGATCAGTGAGGCGTACCACGTCCTGGGTAATAAATCTCTGAGGAGGAAATACAATCGAGGGATCCTGAGTCAAGCTGACCTGCTGGGATCCAGTAAACCCACTGGTCGAGAGAGTCCAGCATCAGGACAGCAGACCAGAGCCCGGCACTCCCCCTCTGTTGGAGCCACCCAGCAAAACATCTACGACTTTGATACCTTCATCAGATCACACTATGGAGAACAACTTCAGAGAGAGAAGCAGCTCCGGCAGCGCAGAGAAGAGATGCTCAGGAAGAAGAAGGAGCACTTAGAAGATGTGAAACTGGGCAGGTTGAAGGAGATCACAGTGGGGGTTATGCTGGCTATGGCAATGGCAATCTTGATTAGCCTAAAGTCTAGCAAGTGATACGGGATACTTGAAGCATATCTCACAAATTTTAACAGCCACCTCACAAATATATGGTTCTTATATTTATTTTATTTTTTTTAAACTTTTTTTTTAACATACGGACAGTTGCAACAACCCCCTCAAAGTTAATATTATGGCAAGATATCCACTAAAATATCCACATATGATATGATAATTGTGCCATTGTAGCTATATTGTGCTCTATCTCATGTTAAACTGTATTCAAAGTCTAAGGATTAATAAACACTTGTACTTTATTTTGCATAAGTGTCCTTGGTAAAAAATGTACATGTCTGGCTTCACTTCACAATAACGGTCAAGTATTGTATTCAAATACACGTCTGTGACGTGACAATTAAAGGTGTAACTAAATCACTTGGAAGAATGATGGAAAGTTCTGGAGTTGGCTAATTGTTAAGGACGTCGACTGCTAATGCAAACTGTTCAATCTCACATTGGGATGCTGAAATTACAACAATGCAATTTAAGTAAGCCTTCTGGTTATTTAAATAGATGAAGGAATATTTTGCTATTCTGTGGGTGTAGAAAGAGAAAAAAAATAAATGATTCAAAAATATTTCAGCAACTGTCTTCGGTCATTGATTGTATGGAAGTGTGGTGTTTCTAGTAAATGTTTATTTTTGAGACTTTTGTGTTGTAGTTTCATCTGAGTGCTTAAAGACACATCCCCATATTAGATACACATGTGCATATTATATAACTGTTGTAGGCATAAAACATTTAGACATGTAGATTGGGCTGCTGGAACATGGGTTTAAAATTTCTGACATCAGAAATACTCAAAAAATGCAGAGTACAGTGATAATGTGTTTGTACAAAAGATATTTACTTCAGTTAATACACCTATGGTGGTTATGAGGAATAATAATAATATAATGAATTTCAAACAGTGATATTGCTTTTTTTCATTTTGGATTAGAACAGCGCTGGGAACAGAATACAAGACTACATGATGATACACAAAGGAAAAAAACCAACCGAACTAAATACATATCAAGAGAACAAAGTGGAAGAGTTTTATTCAGGTAAAATGGAGGATTCAGCTCCATCTTGTGGTTCAAAACCATGACACATAGAAAAATAAACCATACAACTGTCGTTAGCAGGTGTAAGAGGGAAAGTGTCACCAACAAACTAATGGACAAAAGGACTGTGCTAAACCGAGGTTCTACCTGAGCTTTGAGAGACCTAAGGAGAATCTATAGGATACCAGCTTGTGTTGGGAGCTGCCTGTCATATTTCATTACAAGGCTTCATATTACCCATATTACAGCATACAGAGCAACAACCGAGAGAAAGAGAAAAAGAGAGAGATCTGATGTCGTGATCATCAAGACATCCCATTTCCATAGATTGTTGGTCGAAATGAGTCATGATAACTAGGTTAAATTGTTGCTCTCGCTGAGACAGATGTATAATCGTCGTGCTCGCCTCACATGTAACACAATTACACAACTTTAAAAAAAACAAAGAGAGAGAGAAAATCTCCATCTGGGATACAATGAAACAAATTGTGGCTGTTCAGACCATACTGTCTCAGGTGAAGAAAGAACATACTGTCTCAGGAAGTGATGCAAGTGTGAGGGAATAAACGAGGTAACAATTATGACACCACTAGCGAACTATGCTACGGACGAATATCTACATTAATGCTACTTGTGACTACCAATGTAATATCAATAATGATGATCTTTTTTTTTTTGTTGCTTTTCTTTTTTCTTTTTTTGTCTTTTTTATTTAAAGAAATCATATAAACGTGCTGTCTGTGCAGTCGTATGTTGATGTGTTTAGTCATCTGCAATACTTTCCATAGAAAAATATTAGCAAAAAAGCAGAGAAAAAGTGCTGGACATCTTGCATTGAGAGTCGTCTGGAAACTTCTAAGTGTTATTCTAAGTGTTTCATGCCATGATATCAACAGTACGGTTACGGTTCAGTCAGTGAGAACGTGGCAGACATAATAAAAGTCCTTAATGCAGACCAGATCTGAATGTGCTCCTAAATGCGTGTGTTTTTTTTTTCTTTCTTCAATTGAAATCACATGTTTATGATCGGAAAAGAGTCTTTACAAGTTGATTTGTCTGTTTTGACAATTTGGTCCACACTACAGTATATTCTACAAATCATTTAAGAGTTTCCACATGCCAAATCCATCTGTGAACTTCCTCCAGCGCGGGGGGAAACTTACCGTTAAAATACAACAACACAATAACAAAATAAAATAAAACATCTAATGAATGCCTAGAAATGATTAAAACGACATTTTGGGACAAATAAATGTGGAGTTAACCGATTGAAATTGCCATTGTAAAAACGTTTTTTTTTTCCATAACCAAGCCTGAATCCTGGGACAGCTGTTTTCTCTCAGATAAAACAACACAGACACCCCTAAAAGTACAGAATATTATGACCTGAGACTAGATGAGACCCTATTATTGAACTTGCTGGCGAAAATTGCTAAAAGGTGGTATCTGACACACGATATTTCCAATCACTTATTTGGAATGAAGACGACGCGATTCTAGTAACGTTAGCGAACAGTTTTCAGTGAAGGCACTCCAATGTTTGATGTGGAGAGAAAGTGTGATAAACAGTCACGGGCTTCGACGTATTCGTATATTCTGATAAAAACATTGGTTCATGAAGTATCTCTCTGTGCTTTCGTTAGGTCTTAAAGAGACTAATTTGATTTTGAATCATTCATTGGCACATATAAAAAAGGCCAAAGGTAGTTTTTAAACCGACGTTGTTCTCCCAGATTAATCGGCGTAATTTTTTACGCAACCGAACGACATCAAATGAATTTCATTCCTACTTTAAAAAAACCAACAAACTAAAAGACCAATTCCTCAAGGTGCAGCTCAAAGCAACAGCTATTTTCAGTGACGTTAACTACCAGTTGTTCACTGGCTCAAAGTAGCAACTAAGCTTGATTGCGATAACAAACGTAATCTCAGATCGTTCGCAGGTTAATTAATTACCTGAAAACTTAATTCAAGAGCATCAACCGTTTTGCCTTTGTAGAGTGAATACAGCCAAATGCAATTCATCTTGAATTGTCATTTTTTAAAATCGTTAAAACATCTAAAATGCGTACTAATTAAAATCATTAATGCAATACATATAATTCTGCTTCCTTTGTCAACGTAGTAACTGTTCATCCAGCTCACTAAACAGAGTAAAATATATGAAAAAAAATGATAATCTTCAGAATTAATCAATAGACATGTATCAAAAGTACATCATTTAAATGTAATCCAATACTGCCGGCAGTCTATTAGTCGAAAAATATGTAACCTGACCTTTTATAGTCCCTTCCATTACAAAAAAAAAGAACACGTATAACAATATAAGACATCAATATGTAAAAGACAGCATCTATAAATAAGCAAACCACACCAACAAACAAAAAAAAATATCTACCATTAGTTTATGCGTGTAAATAAAAAGAACTTAAATGTACTATGTGATATGCTGCAGGACTGCTAAATAGCTTAGGGACGTGAGGAGGTGTTTGCTTCCACAGGCCTGTGGCGAGTAGTAGTAGTAATATACAAATATAGATCGCTCTTGTCGACAATCACACACACACACACAAACAATCTCACACTCAAGGTTTGCACACAGACGAGCGCGTGGCACCACCGTTCTGTGCTTTCGTTCACAAAGTCAACTGCATACAATGACACAAGGGCCGGAGGTGAAAAGTGAGCAGGTTTTGAAAGGTGTTTCAGGAGAGAAAGAACGTTTCTACAGAGGTGCAGAGTCCTCGCTGATGCGCACGTGTAGCGATTCACCTCAGGTTCCTAACGTTAAAAGAGCTTTTCGTTCACAATCTACACATTTTCCTCTTTTTTATGAAGATGTGTCCGAGTCCTCCGTCATATACAGTATGAAAAAGTCCATTTTGCGAGGTGTTTTTCCAGTTGTCTTGGAGGACAGATGCGTGTGTGAACAGCGAATGGAGAAGCTGGTGAAAAACCTGAAGTTTCGAGTTTGCACGAGAGCCCGCATACTCAGCGTCCGGTACCCTGGTGCTGAGGACCAGCCCATACAGTGCAGTGGCCCACGGCCACACCATAGAATTAGAATTTATAACACCATAGATATTGGATTAGAATTGTAATTCTATGGGCACAAACAACCGCCCAACTTGGTTAGAGGTCTCTGATGTATGGTTCTTTTATAAGAGGATAAAAATCAGGCTTGTTCATTCTCTTTAAAAAATATCTTGTCAGGAATATTTACTCAAAGTACTGTACAAATCCTTTTTTTTCTTCTTCACTATCTGTCTTTGTTTTGGCCTAAAAGGACGTTCATTATTAAACAAGACCTCTGCGAGCTTCAAAACGCAAGTCGCGGAGGCGATTAAAGCTATGGAAAAAAAAAATAAAAACGAGCGCTACCCTTACGAGAGACCTAAATAACGATAAAAATTGACACTTAGCTATCAAGTTACGAAATTTCTCCCATCTCCCATTTGCGTCGACCTTACAACAACAGTATGAATTTTTGCATGATACATGGATTCTTATTTTCGACGATTATTTTCCGTTCGCGTGATTTTTTTTTCTTTCTCTCTTTTAGGCCGTTGGCGTGTAAAATCAAAAGGAGTGCTGTTTAGAGTCAACTGACTGTGCAATCTCTCGGTGGCAACTTAATTGCTATAAAAAGGATTTTCTTCTCGCGTCGGAGAAGCTTCCGAAGTGTGAAAATAATGCGGGTTCCATTACGCTGGAATCCATTGCGTACTAGAGTTGCATAGCCATTGGATGGCCTCCTCTGGGGTAGGGAGGGAGAGGCAGGTGGGACGGTGCACCCGTGTTCCTTCAGCCAACACTTGCTTTTAAATGCTTGACTTTTGGTTTGAAACCGGTTCGAACTAGTCTCTGCTGACGGCCGAAGCTTACACGATACAAAAGAGGAAACTCCCAAGAGTCTTGAGAACTGATAAATTATTGTAACAGTTATTCAGCTTGTTGGTGAGAACGTCTCTATTAGAAATAGAGACACTGTGATATCATAGTGTGTTTGTTTTTTTGTGACTGTCGCCAGTCTTGAGAATATTTCGTGGGGAACGCTCCCTCTCCTGTGCTTTTAAGTTTTGTGTCTTCACCATAACCCAATGGTGTCATACAGCCCTGTGGCCAGCAGGGCTGTTAAGTGCTTCACAAAATAAACAGACTAAAAACTCGTTTCCTTGTCTCTGATAGCCCACTTCTAAACAGCGATTTGAAAACCTTTGGGTTAACCGGTGGTGTGTGTGCACCAGGCTTGGCCAGGTTAGCTCAGTGAGGGACAAAGTGAGAATAAAACGACGACAACACGGCGGTGGCTCAGAACTCCCATTCGTGAGGCTCGTCGCGGTTCGCCGCTTTCTCCAGCCTGTGGATGATGTTGTTGAGGTTGGCTGCTTTCTTCTTGCGCAGACTGCTGTCCTTTGGGTTTCGGCAGGGGGTCGCGGCGGCAGTGGGAACAGATACGGACTCGGGAATGCCGAACAGGCTGTCTATGAGACCTCCCCGTGGTCTGCTGGTGCCCGAAGCGCTGGCGAACTCGCCCTCGCCCTCTTCGTCTCTGTGGCTGAGGCCGGGGCTCTCCAGGAGGCGCTTGCGCTCCTCTGAGCCACTCGGTCGGCCCTCCGCTGTGCTGTCGGACTCAGTGCCGTCGCAGCTGTTGTCTCCCTCGCCCCCAGACTTCCCGGCCCGCGCCGAGGGGGACCCGCCTTCGCCAGCCGCTGCCTGGATCTCTTCTATAAAGAGCTCTCGCCGGATACGGGACCTGCGAAAACAAGAACGAGACTCGTGAGAACGGGAATACAGGCATAAAGTTGGGGTATAACGACACAGAAGAATAGGGTTGGGTATCGTTGGGTTTTATCCGATACCAGTACCTACTCTGTATTTTTTAAACGGTACCGGTGCTTAAACGGTTCTTGAAACTAGAGCCCGACCGATAAAGGGTTTTGAAGGCCGATACCGAAATATTTTTGGGTTTTAAAATCCGATATATCGGCCGAAATTTTTATTTTTATTATTTTTTTTCCAGAAACGCGCAACAAAACATTAACAGATTTCCCTAACATAGTTATTTGTAGTTATTTATGAGTTTTAACTAAAATAATATGATGAAGCATTTTAAAAAGAAACTTGTTTCTTTCATTGTCACAACAGAACAGAGGAACATCAAAATATATTAGAGTTCTGATAAATAAATTAATAATTAGCCCCTACATTGCCTTATAAGCTACCTTATAATTACAATGTCAGCTTGCTTATCCCTTTTTAAATTCTTTCCATCAAGCTACATCACACCATTTTCAATCATCAGTTTCTGCCTGCCTTCTAAAACCTACTATTTCGCGATTCTAAATCCATTTCATGAACAACAGTCTGCAACGCACACTTGGCGCCGTTGGATTGCACACACGTGTAAAAGAAAAGCTAACTTTTACGTTTGATACTTTTTTCTCTATGTCTAAATGTTCACTCCTCGCAAGCATAACTTACATTTTACAATGCAGGGACTGTAACTAGAGATATGCTAGTTATAAATACAGTAATCATTACTTTATTTAGGCAGAAAAAGTTCATTGTGGTTTCCAAGCTCATTAATGTTAACGTTAGCGGTTTTCCACTGATGATAGTTGCATTAGCTAGCTTTGTGGTTAGCTAGTCTATGATGAGCCATAAATTAGAAATAGATAACATCATACTGCAAATTGTAAAACATACTGTACATTTTCAATATAACAGGCCAAGGAGAGATGATTGAAGCGTGTTTCGTCCGTTTTTATTTTATTTTTTAAATATTCATTAATCGGCCGCTATAACTGCCGATACCGATATTATGGAAAATGCCTAATATCGGCCGGCCGATATATCGGTCTGGCTCTACTTGAAACGGTCCTCAAGAAAATGAAACCACACACGATTTGTAAAATAATAATACCCCTTTATTTACAGGGCCAAACTGGACACATTATTAACTTATATCTTTAAACAATATAAATACAAGTAACATATGGTAATAATAAATAAACCAACATTAGGGGTGGGTTTAGGGATCAGGGGGCGGAGTTGGGTAGGTTTAGGTGTATGTAAGGTGGGAGGAGTTGGATCTAGATCTCCGTGCAGTGAGAATCATCTCAAATCGAGCAGCCCTAGTTATTTCAGTAATCATTTTTGGTGTGTGAACCGGCCTTAAGTGCCACCATACCTGTAGTTGTGGAACCAGTTGATGACTGTGCTGGTTTTGAGGTTGAGCTGGCTCGCCAACTCCTCGATGGTTTTAGGGGAGGGGTAAGGCTTCTGCTGGTAGGCTCTCTTCAGAGCTTCCTTCTCTTCTGGAGCCAGAACCACACGGGGTTTCTTGAGATGGGGCTGCTGGGGCTGCTGCTGCTGCTGCTGGGAGAGGTGTTGGGGGCTGGCGCACTGAATGAGGTCACTTCCTGACAGACCACTGTCCAGCGAATGACTCTCACCAATGGAGCTGTGGCGCCTCTTCATGTAGGCTGGAAAACACACACATAAACAAATGCACATCACATGATTTCTTTGAAGAGGAAATATTCAAGATTGCCTAATATTGATTAGTCCATACTTTAAAAACTATGGTGGTTACAGTGTGTTAGATGCTGTAGATTATATTATAGATTATACAATATTTGAATGCTGTATTTCTCTCTAGTCAGTAGGGGGCAGTCTCTGATTACAAATATTATTATTATTGCATCAAGGTCTTTGTGAATTTGGCTCAGACATTTGATTTCACCATTATTCCACCAGCATTGCAAAAATAACTATAAATGAATACATAAAAACTTCCCCAACAAAAAGTAGATTCATCGCGGCTTAACAATAAAGAGAACTATGCTTTCATTAAGTTTTGCATTTGTTTTTTGAAATTTGTTTTTTTTTAAAGCTTTTTAGCTAATTATGCTAATTTAAATAAAGTAATGTAAAAACTTAGATTTGTGAGTCAGTTAAAGTTTATGAAAATGATAAATCAGTCTATTCAATGTAATTGTTTATAAACATCACAAAGTTAAATTGTAAGTGTAAAATGTCCAGTTACTGTATTTTATATTCTAAAAAAAGTTTTTATACATTATATTATTTTGATCAAAAGTGACAGTAAAGACATTTATAATGACACATTTAATTTCCTATTTCAAATTAATGCGGTTGTTTTGAACTTTCTATTCATAAAAAGAAAAATGTATCTTGAAAATGTATCACGATTTCCACAAAATATTAACTGTTTTCAACATTGATAAAAATAATAATTTGAACACCAAATTAGCATATTAGAATCATTTCTAAAGGATCATGTGACACTAAAGACCAGAGTCATGATGCTTCTAAGGCTTTAAAGGTTGAGCAGCGAGCTCATTGGCTACTGATGGAACAGGAACCAATCAGCTGTGCCCTATAGATAATTATCTGATTAGGACCTACCAGCTTGCGCCATCTAGAGTTTCATGACAGAACTTTGTATATATTTTAAATCGTAATAGTATTTCACATTACAGATTAAAAGTGTTATTGCCAGCAAGTAGAAATCTGAAATACGCCGTTCATGATAGGCTAAGCAAATGTTCTCAAAACGCCAATCACTCCTTCTCCTTCAAACAATTTACAGTAACAATAACACTGTTTAACCAGCATGTCTTTCTTTTCTTTTTCTAATGAACAGACATCAAGCACATCAATATCCCTGTACCGCTAACCACACAGCTGTGTGTGAAATCTGTAATTTCAGTGTCTGTAGTAGAGGAGCCTTTGGCAACAGCAATGCTAAAAGATTGCGCTGGTAGCTAAAACTCTCAGAACAAGGGCCAAGCAAGGCTAATTTGCTTTGTGCCTCTAGCCAGCGTCGAGGTCAAACTCATACTCTTTTCTGTAAAGCTGGAGCAAAAGACCGCGAGTTGGAGTGAGAGAGAGACAAAAACAGATAGAAAGAACACGACAGCAAAGCTGTTGCTTTCCGTCCCTGGCAAGCACACAGTGGGCTTTAGGGGTAAATGGTGGAGCCAGTTTCACTCTAATGAGGAGGTCCCCCCGAGTTTCGCCCGCTCCGCGCACACGCACCGCAAAGCCTGACTCATAACAAAACCATCATCGTCATCGTCACCCAGGGAGCACCAGTAATGTCACTTTTAGCCCGAGAGGAGTGTTAAACAGGCCTAATGACTCCAGGAATGTTCACTTGGCCTGCTGCAAGCTTGCAGGCGTGCGGGCCCGGCGCTGGGTGCAGTGGACTTTAAGTAAGCCGGCCCCACAGAGCCGTCAGCCTGTCACAGCCGATCATGGAACTGACATCTCCCACCCTCATCAATCCAGACAGCGGAGCGACGAGCGGCCTCACCGAGCATGTGCGGCCTATTCGGCAGCCAGAGGACACATCTGGGCCATTAAAGAGGGAAAAAAAGAGCAATCAAACAGCCCATCAGGCCTCCCTCTGCCTGACCGGCTCATCTCCGGGCATCTCGCGCATCTCTTCACATTAAAGTGAGGCGCGCTGACGAGAGGCAGCTTAAAGATTGTTTTCTGCAACTGAACTGATGAACACAAACGCACGCTTGCCGATAATTAGCAGGTGCTGAATGGAAATATGGACACATGACCAAGGGGGCTGGCCTTCTACACTGTCAAAAAATATTGTTGGTTTAACTTACAAAAGTAAGTAAGCTGGTTGCCTTAAAATTTTAATGAAGGAGATTAATTGAATCATCAGAAACGCAAAATAATAAGTTATCTCAACTAAATAAATTATTTAAGTTGATTTGACAAAAGAAAAAAAATGTTGTGATAACAAATCTTGAAAATATTGTTTTACAGTGTATAACGGATCTGCAGAAAAATACAAAGATGCTGGGCTTTTTTGTCTGTAATTGGAAAGATATGTCGCGATAATCGCGATTAATCGCATCCAAAATAAAAGTTTGTGTTAACATGATATATGTGTATATACAAAGTATATAAATACTAACACATGCATGTATATATTTAAGAAAAATGTGTTCTTAATATATCAAATATTTATATTTATATATAATATTAAAATATATATAAAGTATATACATGCAAATATTTCTTAAATATATACATATATCACTTTAACACAAACTTTTATTTTAGATGCGATTAATCGTTGCCCATCCCTAATAAGAACAAGTCTTCATTTACTAGTTTTGCTCGTAGCTTCGAACATGTTACAAATGTAATAAACTCATTTACACTAACAAGCAAGAATTCATTAAATTAATCAAATGTAGAATAAATGCTGTTCTTTTCAACTTCCGGTTCCTTAAAGAATACTATTTTTAATAATGTGAAATGTTTCTTGTGCACCAAAAAGGCATGTTGGAATGATTCATTAAGGATCATGTGACACTGAAGACTGGAGTAATGATGCTGAAAATTCAGCTTTGCCATCGTAGGAATAAATTATTTTCTTTAATATATTTAAAAAGTTTGTAGTAATATTTCATCATATTACTGTTTTTAGTGTTTTTTTTTCATTAAGTAAATGCAGCCGTGATGAGCATAAAAGAGACTTATTTAAAAGCAGAGGTGGACAGTAAAGAAGTACATTTACTTGAGTACTACACTTGTACTTTACTTGAGTATTATTTTTTTCTGGAAACTTGTTACTTTAACTTCCCTACATTTGAAAGACAAATATCGTACTTTTTACTCCACTACATTTCTGTCAAAGTCCTTGATGTTAGTCATGGCATGATTTTTTCCTTCTCTAAATGTGATTGATTTTTTTTGCGGCTGACAGACAGCCAATCAGTGATCACTTCTGTAGGGTCACGTGTCGGGAAGTTTGACGATTTAGTACGATTTCTCTTTACTAGTGATCTGTGAGAGACCGTATCGTTGTTGTCACAAGTAATGTTTTGAAAGTTTTGTTTTTATGGCAAATAAGTGTTTATGTTGTGCTGTTTGTTAAAGTAGTATTAGAGTTGGGCAGTTATACAGTTATGGTTGTATATTTTTGTATTTACAGACCATTTGATTTAAACGAGCATGATTGGATACACATAGATGTGTACTTCTTTTGGTGGGGTGGTAGGAGTGTTAGATAAAAAAATGAAGATGATTATGGCCGTCTTTTTTATATATTCAGTTGTTTAATTTCTATAGGTTTTGTGACATTCTTGAAGCTCCACACTACAAAACTACAAACTGCTCAATGTATTCACTGGTTGCTTAAGAGGCAAAAGGTCCTGTAATAATGCAACAATAATATAACAATGCATTGACATTTACTTTGTACTTTTTAGTACTTTTAAAAAATCAAGTACTTCTGTACTTTTACTTTACAACTTTTACTTGTAACGGAGTAATATTTGACAAGTAGTATCTGCACTTTTACTCAAGTAAGGTAGTTGTGTACTTGGTCCACTTCTATTTAAAAGTAACAAATTAAAATAAATCGTACTTTTTGAACGGTAGCGTAATCTAGCTTCTTTAATCTACCATAAATTGCTGTAACGACCAGAAGCAACTTGAAAATAACACATCAATCATTTCACATATCCCATTTTTAATAAATAAAAAAAATTATCATGTCTATTCAATATAATTGTTTATGGATGTCACAAAGTTAAATTGTAAGTAAGTGTAAAATGTCCAGCTACTGTATTTTCTATTTTAAATTATTTTTTATATGTTATATTATTTTGATCAAAAGTGTCAGTAAAGACATTTATAATGATTAATTTCCTATTTCAAATTAATGCTGTTGTTTTGAACTTTCTATTCATAAAATAATCTTGAAAAATGTATCACGATTTCCACAAAATATTAAGCAGCACAACTGTTTTCAACATTGATAATAATAATAATTTGAACACCAAATTACTTTTTGAACGGTAGCGTAATCCTGCTTCTTTAATCTACCATAAAATGCTGTAACGGCCAGAAGCAACTTGAAAATAACACATCAATCATTTCACATATCCCATTTTTAATAAACAAACAAAAAAAAAAAATCACATTATTTGAGATTTTAAAGTGGCTGAAGTAATTTTGCAGAATAACAAAAAGTCAGTTTTGTTTTTGCATCAATGAGCAGTTCTTTCAAAAATGAAAAGTGTTAAGGACATTATCCTGCACCCTTTTTCTGTCCCCGATCCGCTTTCTCTTCATATGGAACAGGCCCGGATTGGGCACCAGAAGCGATAAACAAGAAAAGATGAATAAAATCCCACACCAGACACAAGTCTCGCAAACGTTCTGAAAAGACCTGCCAACTAAACCGACACTGAACAAACTGTGAAGGACTTTAATAAACAGTGAAATAAAAACACAGATAATTGCAAACAGGTCTTTGCTGGTGACGGCCAGATCGCACCAGATGCCTTTAGAGGAGAGGTTACCTTTCTTTTCCATCCGCTTCATGTCCATGAGTTTCTCCACGTTGCGCGGGTCGCTCAGCCACAGCTGCATGCGTACAAACGGCTCTCGCCCCTTCAGGCTGAGCTTATGCCAGGGCTTGGGCCGGGCCAGCAGATCAGACACAGAGCCCTGCGTCAAACCCAGAATGCTCTCTCCAAACAGACGCTGGCCTGTAAACACAGACGATCATATCCGTCAAGAAACCTTCACGTCAACATGTTCCACAACCTGAAAGTGTCCAAATAACAATTTGTTTTATCGTTAACAAACCGACGATTTCGTGTAATGCTTTACTTAATGTATTTTGAGCTATTTGACATTTTGTTATATGATGGAAGACATTCGTACAGTTTAACTTGTGGGCCACTGACTGTAATATCATTTATTCTGGGCCAATATTACTATTAAAAAAACATAAATTGTATTTACTCGTACTAATATGGCATCAAAGTTTGATCAAACAAACCCTGCTGATTTCGCTTTTAGCCTCCACCTTTAAGGCAAGGCACTTTCAAACGGGCGCTTTCAACGTTTTTTTCTTAACCTAAATAAAAGGCACCCGAATCCTCTCGACAATAACTGCGATCCGTCTATGTTCAAAAAGGAAATGTTCCCTAGAGTAAAACAAAAGCCTGAGATCCCAGAAGATTACTTCTCTCACTCTCCCCGTAGACTCGTATCAACACAGCTGTCTTTACATTTTGCACTTTATACAGGTCAATACCACTACAGAGCACAACAAATCTTTGCTGCTCCCGAGACAAACATCGCGTCGGGAAATGAGAATCTGCGAGATGAAAGAGACTGTCACAGTATCACGCTGTGCGATATATCCGTACTTTCCTTTGTTATATTGTGTGTGTGTGTGTGATCACATGACTATAAAAGAAGAAAGTGTAAACACAAAGGTCACAAAAAAGTACTGGTGTTTTTGGTCAATTCTCGTTTGAACAAAAGGACAACGGTTGATGCGAGTTAAACCGTGAAGGAGAAAGTAGCTGTGTCCAGTGTGGCGTTCTCACTCGACCTCTCATTAATTACGGCGGCAGGGACAGTCGGAGTGGACGGCCATTAAGAGCTAAAGCAGGGCCAACCTGTCCTCCACCTGTCCTCTCATGTGGAGAGCCATTATTACAGGACAAAAACATGATGCACTGTATCTATCAAACGGATGCTGAATGCTTCAGACAAATCTAAATCATGGACGACAAATAAAAAATATGTGTGGCACCTTATTTGTAAACGAAAACCACCAATTATAGCTTGTTACGATACTATTTATTGGTGCGCATTGGTTCCGGAAGTATTGGTAGAATAAATGCATTTTTAAAAAGTATAATATATTAAAAGTATTATAAATAAAACATAAGTATAATATATAAATGCAAGTAGCCTATTATAATAAAATACAAGTAAAATATAATAAACTAAATAAAATTAAAAAGTGTTATTAAAAAAAAATAAGATTTTTTTTCCATTTGATTTAGTGTGATTTAGTGTGTTTTTCGGTGATCGATATCTAAAAAACGTCAAACTTTTCCACTTGAACAGGCAATTTGAGGACCACTTTCCCTCGCGCATGAAATCTTCCATATTCCAGCAATGAGAACGCGACACACTGATGATGACGCATGACAGCAGAGCATGGATAGGTGCCAAATAGGGCTGTGAAACGATTAATCACGATTAATCGCATCCAAAATAAAAGTTTGTGTTTACGTAATATATGTGAGTGTAGTGTATAATTATTTTGTATATATAAATACACACGCATATCCAAAATAATTACACACACATATATTATGTACACACAAACTTTTATTTTGGATGCGATTAATCGTGATTAATCGTTTCACAGCGCTAGTGCCAAAGCTGTTGTGAATCCGCCAATCCATAGATGCTCAATTTAGTTTGATAGAGAATACCGACAGTATTCGCAACAAACCTCAACAAAGGTTGTATTTCATCAGGATGTTAAATCACTTGAAATGGTATGGTAATTTGAGTGTCAAAAATAGGGTCATGCTGTCCGAGATTGTAAATGAAGCCAGTAAGATATTTGGCAAGACACAGAAACATCATAAAATGTATAATCAAGCAAAAGGCTTTAGTGATAGTAGGGGATGTGTCTCACCCTCTTCATGGTGAGTTTCACCTGTTGCCATCAGGGAGACCACATGCAATGAAGAAAGTTTTTCAGTTACCTTTTGTGTCCAATGCTGTTCAAATTTTAAATGCAATGATTGTTGCTGATTTGTTTTAGTATTGTCTTGTTTTATGTATACTTATACATTGATTGTGTTGTTAATTTAATGTTTGTTAATGTTAATTTTTATAAACATTTAAAAATATTTTTACATTAAAGTACTTAAAAAGTTCTAATAAATATATTTTATAATTGCAATGCAAGAGCCTCTAAATGCCATTTGAAATTTTCTTCTTTAATGATGATTTTTATCAAAACTGTATATTTAAGTTCAGTAATTTCACTTAAATAACAATTAATAGGTAATCATCATTGCCATTTAAGTGAAATCACTGAACTTAAATATACAAGCTTGATAAAAATGATCATTCTAGAAGAAAATTTCAAATGGCACTTAGAGGCTCTTGCATCTGAACTCTTCATATATATATATATGTGTAAATTATATGATAAAATGAACAAAAAAAAAACAGCTACAAAAAAATACTCTCAACTAGTCAACCACGATATTGTAGGATTACTTTCTCAGAACGCAGAATGCCTGTAGTTTAACTAGCTATAAATTACGAGTAGATTGGAGCTAATCCAAATTTTGTTCACTGAGGTGCACTGGCCACCATTGGGTTTATTGAACACACTCACCAAGGTTGTTATCTGTGAGAACTTCTTTTACTTTCTTAGTGATGGCGTAGGTGTCCAGCTCGGGTGACATTGCCACCATCTCTTGTATGCTAAGACCCCCGTGTCCCGGCAGAGGTAACGGTAGAGGCGTGCCAGGCTGAGACTCGGACGTTTCACTGGGCTCCTGGATGGACGCTTGGCACATCTGCTCCTCCTGCTGGCTTTTTACCGACTCCTCAGCTGAACTCAGAGGGGATTCTGGGGCAGGACTGCAGCTGGCTGAGGTCTTCGGAGTAATCTCTATGGAAACGAGAGGAACCGAATTAAGACCTCGTGACCTCGTCCGTTGGCTGGGCATTATTTATCGACAGAAGGCCTGAATGAAGATCTGTCTAAATATGGAGTGAGTAGCCAATGAAACCGTAACCCCAACCAAGGTCCTCCAGCTCAGCAACAGGAAGTGATGGACAGTGACAGATGCATCATGTCATGCCCAGACACAGCTTCTCTTCAAGCATAATGAGACAAATAAATTAAGGAGGAAGGGAGTTAAACGTGTTTGGTGTTCTGAGACTTAATATGTTCATGCCGAGTTAGCTCTTCCAACAATGAAACTTTCATGAAACAGAAAAAATATATTTTATTGAAGCATCTCCAAGCCGCGAGGCCGAAAATACACCACATGCTTGGGATAACAAATTAATAATTTATGTTAAGCAAGGACACGTTAAATTGATCAAAATTTGTTTTTTTAACATTATATCCATCAAAGGATTCCACATCGTATTAAGCAGCACAACTGTTACTTTTGATAATAATTGATATCAATAAAGATGATTCTTGAGCACCAAATTAGCTTTGTCTAATGTTCGATCAAATAAATGCAGCCTTGGTGAAAATAGAAGTCAAAACAACAACGAACAAAAAAAAAAATCTAATTTTTGTACCAAACTTATGCATCTTTATTTTTTTATATGTATACTTTTGAATAAAAAAGGGTTACAGTAACAGGGTTCCAGACTGCGACCAGTTAAAATTTGATATGGTCACATTTGTGCGAGTGGACTCTATGAACGAGTAGGCTACATCATGAATCCAAACTGTGTTTTTGACTTATCCTGAATCACTATGGTATGCCTATAATAAGTGTTTTTAAGTGGAGGTGCCTGCGTGACTCGCCATTAGGGTTGGGTATCGTTTGAATTTGAACGATTCTGATTCCGATTCCTTGTTTCAATTCCGGTTCCTAACGATTCTCGATTCCGATTCTTTTAAGAGGCAGGGTCAAAAAAGTTTAGCTAACCTTGCCAACCAACGGCCTTTCTGAAGGAAATACTCCTTCTGTAAAAATACTCCCTTTTGTCACAAATTTTGCATTTTGCCGAGATTTCGTTATTTTTAGAAAAGTGAAGCCACACTTTGGACCGCCGACGTAAGCTACTCATGTTCGACTCGCGCGGTTATGCCAACACTTCCGGTAGACGCTTCTTCGTTGGTGTTGTTCAGCGGTTTCTTCTTCCGCTCGGCGGACTGTGAATATCGAAACTAGGAATCGAAATTTTAACTTTTGAACGATTCCGGGAAAAACTAAAAGTTAGTCCCGATTCCAATCGATACTCGATTCTCGATACCCAACCCTACTCGCCATAGACATTAATGGAGAGAAGTAGCTCTGGCTACAGTGTTCTTCCGCAAGACACGTGCAGTTTTATTTATTGACGAACATAGACGTCACACGCATTGCACACTGATGGTGAAACGCGCCAATTACGAATTCACAAATTAAGGCATATAAAAGTGAAAACGTCTCACGAAACAGCGTGCCCCTTCCTACGTCTTTTCAGCAGTTAGATGAGAGAAATCGCTCGACTGAGGAAAAGGAAATCATTAGAAAATGCAGAAGGTAAGGAGTGTGAGATTTCGGATTTTTGTTACAATTATAAACTTTGATAACGAAAAATCTGTATTAGCTTATTATAGTACTCTAATCTTTTAAAATGTATGTTTAACCAATGTTTAATGATTTTTAAAAGATAAAAAGATGATGCTGATGGATGGATGCATGGATGGATGGATGGATGCATGGTTGGATGGATGGATGGATGCATGGATGGATGGATGGATGGATGCATCGATGGATGGATGGATGGATGGATGCATGGTTGGATGGATGGATGGATGGATGGATGGATGGATGGATGCATGGATGGATGGATGGATGGATGGATGGATGGATGCATGGATGGATGGATGCATGGATGGATGGATGGATGCATGGATGGATGGATGGATGGATGGATGCATGGATGGATGGATGCATGGATGGATGGATGGATGCATGGATGGATGGATGGATGGATGGATGGATGGATGGATGCATGGATGGATGGATGGATGGATGCATGCATGGATGGATGGATGCATGGATGGATGGATGGATGGATTGATGGATGGATGATGGACGGATGGATGATGGATGGATGAATGGACGGACAGATGGATGGACGGATGGATGATGGATGGATGGATGGATGGATAGGATATAATTCAAATGTAAAATGCTAAAAATTACAGATTAAAATTATTGTCCAAAATCCTGAAATTTGCCAATGATAATTAATTTATTACAGGTATTTATACTGCAACACAGAAAGCCTTTGCAAGCTATGGTCCATTAAAACCACTATTCATCAGCATGCATTGATTAATCCCACGACATCCCAGAAAAAAAGAAAAGGAGCGACCAAATCAAACGCTGTTCAACCAGTGGAAAAGTTAGTCTGGACCGTGGAGCCCTGTTACATTATATTAACTAATATTAACAATGAATTAGCCTGAATAATAATGAATTTCACATACAACAAATTGTGTGATCGGAGTGATATTTAAAGTACCGAGAACATCTCGAAAAAAAAATACGATTTCATCAGCAAACAAACGCTTTCCTTTATTTTGTGTGAAAGACATCCATGTGTGTAAAACGAGTAAATAATGAGCGCATTTTCATTTCGGGTGAATAGTTCCTTTAATACGTAGACACCAAGCACCTAACACGCTCTCTCATGCTCTTCCCTTTCATTTCCCATCTTCCTCTAGCCCTTTGAGCTGGACTCTGATTGGTTTGCTGTGGCAGTGCAGTGCAGTGCTGGTGGTGAAGAGAGCATCGGGAGGGAGCGTCAGTTTGGATTAGCCGCCTGCCGAGCTGGGGGACACGGCAAGCAGAGAGCAGGGCGCTCAAGGCAGGGAGCAGGCAGTCATATCAGATCTGCAGCAAGACCACGCACAGCCTGGTGACAGTTTGACTGGCGGCATGGTCTGTGTGTGTGTGTGTGTGTGTGGGGGAGGGGAACGAGGGAGCTAGGTGGTGTTTTAGGGACACGAGCAGGAATGACAGGATGTTCCTGTGACATGCTGCAAGTAACCAGTGCGAATGCGTGTGATAAAGGGGACGGGAGGGGCGACCGCATCTGGACACACAGCTGGTTAATGCAGCCACACACACACACACGCTGAGCTGGAATAAGCGGAAAGCCTACATCTGTCCGGCCCTAATTTTGATGCATGATGAGATTGCCGCACAACAGGTTTAAACCCGAACGGGCCCGAAAACATCCGATCTCATCGACACGCTCAAACTACAGCGCGGTCTAATCTTATATGGGTTCTGATTGGACGATCGCAAGGACGAACTGACATTCAGAGGAGCGGATCTGGAGAGACTGATGAGGGGTCATGTAGTGCTCTTCAACTCACTCGCACACACACACACACACCTATGCATACGCATACACACACACACACCCTGGAGGAGAGCTTGTTTTAGCCTGGTTGAGTGTGTCGTCCTAATGAGGGTCAGTAAGGACAGGCAATATACAGGACGCTTGCTAGAGGACAACAGAAAGCGAACAGGAAGAACCGTGCGTGGTGTTGCAACCACATCTACATAGTCTTTTTTTAACCTTTAATGTTTGCTTTTTTTAATTTTCCCACATGGCTAATCTGAAAAGGATAGGTCAGCCAAAACGTGTAAATGATTATTTCCTCGCCACAGTGTCATTACCAAGCTGTATGACTTTCTTTCTTTGGCAAAGTCAGCACAAAACAAATACATTTTATTTTTTGGGGGTTTTCTGTGCAGTTACAGTGGATGAAAGAAAGTCATGCTGGTTTGGAACGACATAAGGGTGAGTAAATGATGACAAAGATTCATTTCCGGGTGAAGTAGTCCTCTATTTTTAAGTATTAACACTCATCTCTTTCTATAAACCAGCATATACTGTGTCAATCACTTGACCTAAATCAATCAAAAACGTCCCGTTTTAAAATCCACATTCAGGCTTTTTCCTGTGTCCTGCCACCATTTGCAGTTTTTTTTCTTTTTTCTTTTGGCTGAGGTGCATTAGCTCAGTGCTAAGTGCTCCGCGCTGAAAGCTGTGAGGCACAGAACAGGGCAGCTGGAAGAAAGAAACCCATTACAGACCCTCTCTAAAGCTCGGGCCATTATGGTGCCTGCTGTTCAGATTATCTGGCAAATCGGTCAAGCCTGGCCAGTTCATTTAAACACACTTTTGCCCCAACTATCCACGCTGGCACGTCACCGGATGAATGTATGTGTAAACACATATCCTTATGCCAAGGTTAATAGGGTTCATAAAAAAAAAAAGTGAAAAAAATATAATTTAATATAATTGAAAAAATATTAAAATTTCGCCCTTTAGAGAGGAAGGGAGTTTTTGATAAATATAAAATAAATATAAAACAACCGATCATGTTTTACTTCCTGTACGTGATGTTTCCCGGCAGGTAAATGTGAAAACCACATCAGCACAATAAATAATATTGTTTAAAGTGGTTAAAAACCAAAACATATAAGTGTATACAAAATATATAATCAGAAATTTGCCTAAGAAATTGATATTTGTATTCAACAAAGACTTTAAATTGATCAAAAGTGACAGTAAAGTAATTTATTATAATGTTAATAAATCAGCTTTTCTATAACAATAACTTATATTTTAAAATATACTAAAATATAAAGTTATTTTAAATTGTAATATTTCATATTATTACTGATTTTACCGTATGTCTGATTAAATAAATGCAGCCTTGGTGAGCAGAGCATACAAGATTTCTTACATTTCCAATGTAACATAATGAAATGAAATGTAAAGGCTTAAAAAATAAGGGAATAACCTTATGTATGGTTAACAAAGCTCCTTTCAATTCTCCCCAGGTTGGATTAAACAAGAAGATGGTCTGATATTTACAATTCTGTTTAAGTTGTTCATTTCCTCACCTCTTGCTGAACTCATTGCTGTAATGTACATATTACTCGGCTTAATTTGTGGTAAAAATGACAGAGAAAAGCTTCTTTAAGTAGGACAGCGAGCGAGTGCTATTCATCATAATCGGCCTCGCACTCACACGCACAGCTTGACTCCAATTTATCATTCCATCGGCTGATTATTTGCATATTAATCAGCCACCGGAGCATGATGGTGCGTTCGGCAGCCAGTCACAGAGGAGGAGAGGCGGGTAATTATCATATATTCCAGCACTGATGGGCTAATTGATTACAACAGCTGAAGGAGGCCCTTGAGAGAGCCCAGGGGGCCTTTTCTGGATGGCCCCTATGAGACAGACCCCCTCCCCATCCACGCTGCAGCGATTTAACCCAACCCCCCAATGCCTTTCCTTGAAATTCAGGTCAATGGAAGTATAAAAATTGATGACTGCTAATAAACGGCATGACGGGTTTTAAAAAGGCCTTGAACTGCAAAATAATAAGTAGATTTTCACATCCGTAAGTATGATAGCTTTATCATTCAGGTCAATGCGGGGAAGAATAACGCACAAAAGTGTGATGCTAAGGATTAGGGATTGAACAAGCCCCTAAACATAAGTGTTAATGATTACGTGGCGCTTTGATAAACATCTGAAATCGATCAACAGAATGCTGTTATCCTAGCGTAACGATCGCACACTAAAAGTGGGTCATCAACAGTATGATCCTGCATCCGTTGAGTCACGAGTTATTTAAATTCTCCCACCGTAGGGCCGAATGAGGTACAGCTGGCTAAACTATTGAAGAAATACACTGAGATTTGGTTTGCCCTCGGTTATTTATTCAAGCCTGGCTAAAACCAGTATTAGTCAAACCGTTAAAGGAATGCAGCCATTAGCATTTTCAGGAAATAATGTTTTTCTTTCTGTTCTTTTACTGCTTCTCAGAGTGCCCTGTATTAAACAGAGAGATATTATAAGCCGTCCGTTTAAGTCAGAATGAAACTTCTGAAATCAAACAAGATACTGTATACATCAAGACAAAAAGGTGTTTTGTAGTGTCAAACATGAGAGTTTGCTTTTCTTCCTGAGCTAGATACTGTGTTTTAGAGTAATCTAATTTTGGCGAGGAGAAGAGGATGTGATTGGCGAAAAAGTGATAGGAGGGAGAGTTTTGCTTTCTCAAACGCCCATGCCAAACGATAAGAAAGCCGAATGAATGGTGGCTTTGATGACTGCTCAGGATGCGAGTAGTGAAACCAAGAAACCAAAGCCACATCAGAACGAGAAGCTCTTTCACATCCGTCTTGAGCCACTGTGCATGTTTCTTTGTATAGATGAAACTACACTGAGGTCACACAAGAAGTCGCACAAGAACTTCCGGGTTCTCTGCTACCACTGATCTGCAGTGCATGAAATAGTGTGTGTTTAAGTTATTACCTAAGTGACATCATCACTTCACAAAATGAGGGCAAAATCAGTTTAAACTATTTCCAGACGTGTAACACTTGTGATGCAACACTTCTGAAGCATGAGAAATTTGCCACATAAATAAGTAAATGGATGAAGGATGCATCATTATTATAATTCTGTATTATAATTCTGTATATAATTTGTGTATTATAATTCTGTATATAATTTTTAATTTTTGTAAGTATACCATCAACCTGTCCAGGGACTGCAGGCGGAAACTAGCATTTTTTTGCTATAACCTGGCACATGTCATCTCTTCTTTCTTAGATTAATGGTTTTTTGTGCATTGTCCCTGATCAAATAAATAAATTTAAAAAAAAAAAAAAAAAAAAAATCAATGTGTAATTTTTTTACACATGACACATTTTACCACAATAAGTTATATTAAAGATAAAAAATCATCAAAAATGCGATCAAAATAATTTTATTTTATTTGATAATATTTTACTAATTCGTTTAAAGGAGTAGTTCACTTTTAAAAAAACTTTTGCTGATAATTTACTCACCCCCATGTCATCCAAGATGTCCACGTCTTTCTTTCTTCAGTCGAAAAGAGATTAAGGTTTTTGATGAAAACATTCCAGGATTTTTCTCCATATAATGGACTTCAATGGGAACCAAACGGTTCAAGGTCCAAAAGACAGTTTCAGTGCAAACTGCAAACTGTTCAAAGGGCTTTAAACGATTCCAGACGATGAATAAGGGTCTTATCAAGAGAAACGATCACTCTTTTAGGAAAAAAAAAACAAAGTTTAAGTTTATAAGCTTAAATGGTCACTGTGTTCTGTACTGTGATGCAGAACTTATTCATCAAAATGAACGAAACTTTTCAACTCATTCATTTCATTCATTGAATGAACCAAATGACTCAAAAAAAGATTTGTTCATTTTGATAAATGAGTTCGAACAGGAGAGTCACAAATGCGCATCGCAGAACAGAGCAAGGTGAGCATTTGAGCTTATAAAACTTATTAATGAGCGATCGTTTCGCTAGATAAGACCCTTATTCATCGTCTGGAATCGTTTAAAGGCCTCTAAAGCTGCACTGAAACTCTCTTTTGGACCTTGAACCGTTTGGTTCCCATTGAAGTCCATTAAATGGAAAAAAAAATCCTGGAATGTTTTCATCAAAAACCTTAATTTCTTTTCGACTGAAGAAAGAAAGACGTGGACATCTTGGAAGACATGGGGGTGAGTAAATTATCAGCAAAAGTTTTTTTTTTAAAGTGAACTACTCCTTTAATTTTAAACTATCATAAATCAGGACAAAGTCTGTCCTATCCACTCCTCAACTTTTTGGTCATTTTCAGGTAAATTTGAATAAAGCTCCAAATTGAAAACAGCTTTTTTTTTGCGGTGCCTCAAGAACCCGGAAATTTTGCCACAGAGCGTTTGATTGTAATTTCTCCTATGATGCTTTGTAGAAAGAGTTCCTCTGTGCACATGAGTAAACAGTTTCTGGACGTTACCTTGTGTCTGTCCGGGCATTGGCATCAGTGCCTGGCCCAGCTCGCCATTCAGCCATAACTGCATGCGTATAAACGGCTCTCTTCCTTTCTGCGTCAGCTTGCTCCAGTGCTTCGGCCGAGAGAGCATGTCGCTCACGCTCCCCTGAGAGAGGCCCAGCACCTGCAACCCGCACACACACACACACACACACAGGGGATACGGTACATGAGATTCAGAGAAAAACAGCCCTGAAACTAATATGAAGATATTTTATGATGCAATAAGAAGAAAGATGCAGCTGGTATTTCAAAGTGATACATTTGCATGGAGTATAAAAAAAGAAACCGACACACAAGCGCTCAACTCATTTCTCAGCAGAACGACGGATGGGTAATCGATGGAAGCGTATCTGATGTGAAAAGCACTGACCTTCTCGCCAAAGATCCGCTGGCAGATGCCATTCTTGGCTAGTTTGTCTTTGACTTGCTGTGTGAGATCGACAGTGTCCACTTCCTGGTACATGTAGTACTCGTACTGCTCGGGGGTGAGCGGGGGCACCACGGGTTTGGCGACTTTGGGGAGGGACAGTAAAGGCGAGGAGGAAGGCAGTGGGCTGCTCTGAGGGGTCTCGCTGCCGCTGGGCATCTGCAGACTAAGCTCTGAACTTTGTGAGTACGGGGACTCTGAGCTGGGCCAGTCCTTCCAGTAATCCAAGGAGGAAGCAGGAGCCACGGGCGCGGTGCTGCCCAGCCGAGGGAGCTTCTGGTGGGGGCAAACAGTGACAGAGTTGGGGTTAGCCATATGAGGGGACTGCAAACGGTATTAATCTGACTGGAATAATATCAAGTAAATTCACAACTTATGGATGAAGTAGTAAATCCCTGTGTGCAATATAGATTTTCGGCATAGATTACACACACAGAATTTGACATTAATATTATTTTTTCAGTTTCTATATTCTGCTCTCTAAAGACTGCTCTGAAATCATGACATTAATCACAATTATTTTATTGTATTCTATTTTACTCTAATGATGCATAGATATATATTCAACTTATTGACAATATACAACTAAAATAAGCGATTAAAATTGTTTTTGTTAATTGAAATAAACACAAAAAAAACAAACATACATACATATATATATATATATATATATATACATATATATATATATATATAAATGAAAATTAAACATTTTGTCCTGGAAACTAACAAAAAAAAGTAATAAAATAACTAAATCTGGAAGAAAAAAAAATATTTTTTTTAAGCTAAATAAAAATATTATATAAAAAAAATATAAAAAACAAATAAAAATGATAAAAGCACATAAGATTATTTAAACTAAAATAGCAAAACAAAAATATAAGCTTTAAATCATAATACTTCAAAATACCATAATATTATATAACTAATACTAAAATAACACACATAAATACACACACACACACAAATATATATATATTTTATATATATATATATATATATATATATAAATATATACATATATGTATATATAAACAGATAGACAGATATATATATATATATATATATATCCTGTTTCATATATAAATGAAAAATAAACATTTTGTGAAATAACTAAATGTTGTAAAATAACTAAATCTGGAAAAAATATGTGTGTGTGAGTGTGTTTGTATATTTCTATACTATTTGGGGATATGTGGCATCAAAAAGTTACGAATAAAGCACTATACCTCCTTGCTATCCTCTTGGCTGTGGACATCTTCGCTAACAGAGGTCTGCCCGGTTCCGCGGCGCTCAGAAAGACCCGTGCTCCACCAGTGTTCCCTCCAAGAACCCCCACCTACACCTCCTCCAAGCTTGGGCACCCCGTCCAGCCCCATATCTGAGACGGCCACCTCACCCATCTCCTTCTTCACCCCACTGTGGAAGTCCAGGAGAGGCGAGGTGGAGGGCTTTTTCAGAGACTGAGCAATTGGGGTGTAGGGGAGAGCGGAGAGCGGGGAGCCCAGGAGCTTTGAGCCCAGCAGCGAGAGATCTGTCGGGGCCATAGAGCTGGCCTTCAATACGGGCTCCAGAGCCACCTGCTGGGCCTCCATCTCCCTCCGAGCCTGCTCAAGGATGGAGCGAATGTTCTCGTCAGAGTTGCTGGAGGAGGACGGAGGCTGAGAATTCTCAACTGCAGGAACAGAAGACAACATGTAAGTGGTCACAATCTGTTTTACCAATAAATCACCATATTATTACTCAAAAAACAGCCTACATAAAAAGAACTATTCTGGCATTATATAGGCTACTCATCCTCATGTTTTCCAAACCCATATGACTTACTTTCTTCTGTGGAACACAAAAGTAGAAAAAACTAAGATTGTTTAAAGCTTCAAAAATGACTAATAGTTTCATAAAATGGCAAAATCTTGGTCTTTTTGCTATGATACTCTAATGATGTCTCTTATGTTTGGACCGTATACTTCTAAAGCATGGAAAATAGTAGCGTTAACATTCAAAAACATCTTTTCTGTTCCACAGAAGAATGAAAGCTTTTCTGGTTTGGAAAGACATGAGGGTGAGTAAATGATGACATACAGTAACTCATGTTGGATGAACTACTCATAGGGTGCCAGTAAGAGATTGCTGCCCTATGTTACCCAATAAAACTGTACAATAAATTTGGAGATTAATGTAAATGTAATATACAGTATACTGTATATAATGCTATAATAGTGAAATGAACTCTCTGTAAAGAGCTTAAGAACATTTAATACATTTAAAGACGTCAGTTTTCTGTGAGTTAGAACATAAAAGATTTCTCAACGTGTATATACACTGGGTTTTTCATTGATGTATATATATAAAACATACATCCGTCATAAATCTCCATGACTCAGACTGATTTATGACAGTGAGAAGTTAATTGGAAGCAGTAGCGCTCTTGGCGTGAGGGTAAAATCTGGGGGGAAACTTTCAACAGACAGCACAAAACCTCACCAAGTCTTAGACTGTGTGCATATATTTGGAAATAGCTGCCCGACCCTCTGTGGTAACCTGATCGCCGTTGCCTCTCCCCCACGCCGTCTGTAGTGGCAGGTGGGGAAGAGACAGTTAGTTTAATTCCGTTACACAAGCTTGGACAGGAAAAGGTAAAAGTGGGAATTTTAAACACTCAAAACAGGGAGGATACGACTCAGTATGTTATTGACTGATATAATCATTTGTTTTAGACATTGCAATTACAGTTTTAGCCAACATACACTACTGTCCAAAAGTTTTCTGAAAGGAGTCACCAAGGCTGCATTTATCAAAACTACAGTCAAAACAGTAATATTATCATTTTAAAAGAAAAATCTGTTTTGATATTTTTTAATTGTCATTCACTCTAATGAAAAATCTGAATATTCAGTGTCACATGATCCTTCAGAAAATGTTCTAATATGCTGATTTGGTGCTCAAGAAACATTCTATCATCAATGTTTAAAAAAAAGTTGCCCTGCTTTATTTTGTTGGAAACTTTAATTTATTTTTAAAACATTCAAAAGAACAGCATTCATTTGAGATTTAATGCATAAAATTTAATGCATCCTTGCTTAAAGGAGTTCACCTTTAAAAAAACTTTTACTGATAATTTACTCACCCCCATGTCATCCAAGATGTCCACGTCTTTCTTTCTTCAGTCGAAAAGAAATGAAGGTTTTTGATGAAAACATTCCAGGATTTTTCTCCATATAATGGACTTCAATGGGGTCCAAACGGTTCAAGGTACAAATGAGAGTTTCGGTGCAGCTTCAGAGGACTTTAAACGACACCAGACGATGAATAAGGGTCTTATCAAGCGAAACGATTGCTCATTAAAAAAAAAGTTAAAGTTTTATAAGCACAAATGCTCACCTTGCTTCTGTTCTGTGATGAGCGTTTGTGACCAAATCAAAATCAACAAATCTTTTTTCGAGTAATAACTCGAAGGGTCCTAGATAAGACCTTTATTCATCGTCTGGTGTCGTTTAAAGCCCTTTGAAGCTGCACTGAAACTCTCATGTGGACCTTGAACCGTTTGGACCCCATTGAAGTCCATTATATGGAATGTTTTCATCAAAAATCTTAATTTCTTTTCGACTGAACAAAGAAAGACGTGGACATCTTGGATGACGTGTTTTTTTTAAAAGTGAACTATTTTAATAAAATGTATTAAAATAAATAAAAAACACCCTTACCAACCCTAACCTTTTGAACAGTAGTGCATTATATTAGTATGACGATGCTACAATCAGTTCTACATCAGAAAACCTACTGGTTCATTTAGAAAAAGTGAATGCAAGAATGATCGTAATCAGGTGACAAAAGTGAGTCCAACAGGTTAAACAGGTTGTTGGTCAACGGAAAACAGCTGTGAATGCCTGGACCCTTGTTTTCCTGATGGCGTATAAAGACTCACCTGCTTTCTGCACTTGTAACTCTCTCTTGGCCTGCTCCAAGATGGACTTGATGGCTTCATCAGAGCCGGTCTCAGGTGTGCGGATTCGCGTAGTGATGTTACCTGTGAAGACACAACAAGGAGTGCGTGTGAGACATCACGTGTAGATCTGTTTTGTTCTGAAATGGAGCACAATTTACAACCTTTTAGATTAAAAACAGCAAAAAAAAATATTGCTACGCTCTTAACTATTTCTGTTTGAACAGGTGCAAACACAAGCTTACTTAAACAACAAATCTATGCGGTATGCTAAAATAAGGCTGGCACTTTTTTACGTTATGGAAATGCAATCCTGCAACGGCACAGAACTAAAAAACCATTAGCAATCGTTTGCTTGTCTATAATACTGTGTGTATCAGCACCTGCACTGCCCCTGGCTACAGCAGCACTTCCTGTGTGAGGACTGAAACCTTTTCCTGTCCTCCACAAGTCCACAGAACAAAGAGTCGGTGAGATTTGGACAAACTCCATGAGAAACAACAGAGCTTGTGTGGAAGTATCATCAGACGGGTCGGCGCAATAATAATAAATATGGACAGAGAGAGAGAGCGAGAGAGAGAGAGAGAGAGAGAGAGGGGAAAAAGTGGCAGAGGCAAGTGCCCAATGAGCAGTGGGCAACAGGGCAAGGTCAGAGTCACTGGTGTGTGATGAGAGCAGCTGGACAAGTGTGTGAGGTGGAAGTAATGCTCTCTCGCCCTTTCTCTCTCTCACGCGCACACACACACACTCAGAAACACACACAAGGCTAGCCACCCACAGCGCCGCCCTAGGGGAAACTCAACCACCAGTTGTAATGTGGTGGCACTGTGGATCTGCCTGAAGGATTCTGCCACACGCACACATATATAAACACACAAGCTGACCACAAAATAACAGGACATACTTCTCAAGGACCTCCGTGATGGAAAGTTACATTGGTTTAGACTTGATAACACTCACACAAAGTTTTTCCACAGTTTGAAAACTAATCTATGAAGTCAAAGGTGTAGCATTTATTGTGAACAGCCGTCTTCAGACAGACGGAACGAGATGTTTCTTTAATTCCAGTCAGACTTCTCCCAGTCCGGTCTGTCTCACTCACTTGTTTTGCAACAGATTCCAGGCCAGAGATTGAGAAGAAACAGACCAGCACAACAAAAACATACAGACAGAGCGGATCTGACACTCCAGAAACTCGTAACACGAGAGGGAAGGCGTGAGACAGACCTGGCCGTGTGGAGCCTTCCGAGCCGGTTCTTCGCTTCGGAACATCCTGAAATACTCTGTTCAGGTTCTGGCCTGGGTTCTCTGTTGGAAAACAAGTGGCGGAAGATAGAAATAAAGTAAGACCAAGCCCTAAACTTCTGCTGTCAGTTGTCCAATCATCTCCAGGGCTCAACAATAAGAATATGACCAACCTATGAGAGACAGAAATGTCACCTGTCCCATCAGTCTAGTGTTGCAGCATCACTGCGTTTGGAATTTGAATTCACCTGATTTAGATGTGACACTATGGTTGTTTAGCTAGTTTTATTGTATTTTGCACAGAATGACTAGTTTTCATCAATTACATTGCACAATGTGTGTGCTGAAATCCATAGCTTTCAGAGTTATTTAGTAATTTTATCATTTCTAGAACTTACTGCAAATGAAAAACCTAAATTATATTTTTTTACTTTGGTGAAGAAAATATATTTTTATTTTTATCGTTTAATTTAAAAAAAAAAAATTGTTCTGCTTTCCAGAAAAAAAATGTTTTATATATTGTTTAATTAATTTAAATAATCCGTCAAACGATTAATCACATCCAAAATAAAAGTTTGTGTTTACATAATATATGTGGGTGCATTGTGTATCTTGTATATACCGTATATATATATAATACACACATATGCATGTATATTTAAGAAAAAAAACATTATATATAATATAAATAATATACAGTATATACATGAAAATATTTCTTAAATATATACAAGCATGTGTGTGTATTTATATATATAAAATAATCATACACAGTGCACGCACATATATTATGTAAACACAAACTTTTATTTTGGATGCGATTAATCGCGATTAAACGTTTGACAGCCCTAAATTACAATTAAAAACACCAATAAAAATAGACATTAAAAACACAAATAATAAGAATGAATATATTTAGAGAGGAAAAAAAAAGGATTTTCTTTCTGAAAACCGGAAAATTTTAAATAAACTTTTAATTTAATAAATATAGAAACATTCTTTTGAAAAGCATAAAAAATATTTAAAGTTTTGGCTAATAATAATAATAATATATCTCTCTATAAAAAATAGGGTGAGAAAAAAAGAGAAATCTCATTGTTGAGCTCTGATCTTATATAAATGTCAGAATGTCTTCACCACAGTCAGTTTTGGAAACACTTAGTAATTCTAATCCAAAGTAATACCTTTACATGACCTGATAAGTGTAAATATCCTTTGAATGGTAGTTTGTTAAGCTTAAACACAAATCGACCTAGTCTGACCTCAAACAAAGCCACCTGCACCCTGCAGAACTCACTCGAGTGATTACTTCAACGTTAATGTGCTCCTTTAGCCCAGGTCTTTGATGTGAATGAATGGGTTTTAAGGTTTTTACAAAGTTCCTACTCCCATGGGAGACCACAAGCCGACGCTATGGAGGCAGACAGCCAGACCAGACTTCCTTGAAGACGTTCCAAACCGGTGTGCAGACGCACGGGCAGCACAGTCAGCCTTTTTCAGCTCCGGCTCCGTTTCAAAACTACTGCCTCACAGCTAGACTGAACAAACTTAGACTCGGCTCAACACGGCTTCGAGGATTCACAGCCAACTGCCCTCATATGCAAGTACTCTCGCTCACGCTGGGCTCGGCCTTGATTTGTTCGCTCTAGCTGTGAAGCACAGACTTGAGGCAAAACATAGCGCTCGCAAACCCCTCTGAACTTCCTCTTCACCCGTAGGCTGAGACCGAAATGAAAGAAAGGGTAGACTCCTGAAGTTTAGCTCTAATCAACAAGCCGCCTGTGCCAACTGAGAGTACTAATAGCGTTTCCGTCAGAATCTAGTGTCTGGTCTCTATGGGCGTCACGTAAGACTCTCCATTTTGAAGGTCATGTGGATGAAAGGGTTAGGGTTAGCCTAAAGCTTATCCAAAGGGAATCACGAAAGCCTGTTTTCAGCCAAAGTCAAAATGAATGAATGAATTCACGATTGTGCCTTCTTTATACATCACGACTGACACGTCATACCTTACAAATGTGAGCTTTTTTGAACCTCACAAATGAACCTTGCGACTTTATCCCTCACAAATATGACTTCATACCTCACAATTGGGACTACAAATACCTCAAAAACATCACAAATATCTTAAAAATGTGTTAATTTGGTTCTTATTTAAAATTTTCTCTCACAATTATTATTTTTTTTTTACCCTCAGGCAGAAACAAGCTTCCATAAGCACTTCCCTCTCGTTATTGCACATATTCGACTATGTATCGTATCCGATTCTCTGCGAGGATGCTAACATTAGTGTGTCCATGTTGAAGTTGCTTACATATGATGTTATAATGTTTAAAAATAAACACGAGTTGGGTCTTTTCCTCAAGCTCTGTTACTGACCTCTCTGCCTGCCCTGGATGCTCCTCAGCGCCAGGATGTTCTGCTCATCAGACAGGAAGTGCTTCATCTTGTGAAACGGCTCTTTGCCACGGATGGTTAACTTGCTCCAGGGTTTGGGCCGGGCCAGAATCTCACTGACGGAGCCTTGGGACAGACCCAGAACGTAATGGCCGAACACACGCTGACCGATGTTGTGTTTGATCAGCTGCTCCTTGACCTGTCGGGCGATCTCAGCCGTGTCCATTTCCTCGCCTTCCGACGTACTGCCCGCGCCCTCCGACTGGCTGGGGGAGGGCGCCATGCCGTTAACCTCGGGGCTGCCCGCTGACTGAGGGGGTAGGGGGCTGGAGAGAGAGTTGGTTGTAGCGTAATGGGGCGGCCCGAACAGCACAGAACTTGGAGAAGGGTCCTGGAGGGCTTTGGTGTAGATGGTTTGCATGAGCTGCCTCTGGAGAAGAGAGTTGAGTGCCATTTTGCCAGCCAGTGGGGGGAACGTGGCGCCCACGCTGGCCATGCCGGGGGTAAAGAAGTCTGGCCCGATGCCCGTGGGGGAAAAGGGGTGGGTACCGTTGGCACTGGCAGCAGATTCGGAGGTAGCGGTGCCCGTCCTCATCAAAAGCTGAGGGGAGGGAGGAGGAGGAGACCCCTGGAGTGTGGTAGGGACCGGAGTGGCAGGAAGACGCTGAGGGTTCTCCACTGTAGTTTCTTTACTTTTCCGGCCCAATGCACCTGTAAAACAAAACCACGGGTGACGAGGAAAATCATTTAGACTGATCCGTTCCAGGCAGGTTTTTGAGCACGCAAATCACGACTTCAAACCACGACTCACGACTTTGTAGCGTTCCAAGCCAGTCACGCCAAAATACCTGAGCTAGATGTAAACAAACCAGCATGGCGGACCTTCCGGGGCTTATGCGCATTTGTAATCATTTCTGTTGCTTACTCCTTGTTTATGAGGGAAACGGAGGAGGAAAAACGCTGCATTAGGCAAGATAAGCTGTTATACCTTTTATTTGACTTTATTTGTATATTTGGAAATGTATTCCCAGATAGCAAACTGACATTGAATCAACGTGGAAACATGACATCGAAACAACGTTGATCTGACATTGTTTTGCTCATCGAATTAACGTTGAACCAACGTCAGACGCGTCATTCTTTCAAAACTAACGGAAAATCAACTTGAAATCAACGTTATGAAAGCAAACCAATTTTCGATTTTCATTTAGCTTTGAAGAATGCCGCGTCTGACGTTGGTTCGACGTTAATTCGATGAGCAAAATCAACGTTGTTTCGATGTCATGAGAGACGTCGTTTCCACGTTGATTCAATGTCAGTTTGCTGTCTGGGTTTGGTGCACTCATGGACTGAATGGATGGACTGATGGAACTAGTTAACGTTATATTGTCCTAAAGTGTATTCTCACCGTGTACCGCCTGCAGAAACGCTGCCATTGTTATTTTGCATGGTTTCGCTGGCTATGTGACGTCAGAGCTCGTAACAGGGAGTTATCTATCTATCTCGACTGCCGTTCCTGTGCACTTTCACCGGTGTAACGTTGGAAAAACACGGGTTACAGGTTGCCTGGAACGCGGCATAAATATATTTAAGAGATAAATGTAGAGTAAAAGATTATTTTGAATCATCTTGAAGGGTTTTTATTTTTTAAACTTACAGTACATTCACTCATTACATGGCTACTTAATTAATTAATTAAGAAATATTCAAATATTGAGTAAAGTTGACATAAAATTTGGTGAAAGAAAGAGAACATCCCAGAGATACAACTAGCAATAGGAATCGGTTAACTGGGACAGTTTACATATTATTATACAAAAATATGTAACTTGAAAAATATTACTCCTCCCCCGCCCCACCACCACCACCAAATACAAATAAAAAACATGAGCAGAAACAAAGCACCAAACACTTGCTCTGCACACTTCAAGGAAATCTGTGGTGTATGTGTGCGCATGTGCCAGAGGCTGACGTTTAACACTGATCTCCTCTGAGGTCTGTAGACTAGCAGGCATGTCCAGAGATATCAGGCCAGGCAACTGTGCGTGGGCTACCTGCTCATGCTGTGGAGACTGTTCACTGCAAGGGATTGTGGGTGTCAGTACAGTTATCCTTTTTTGCCATGACAAAACACCTCTGCTGTGTGCGCTTCCATAACAATACCATCACTTTATACAACGGTGACAAAATCAATATCCAGCGCAATAGAATTCTGTTGGTTGTCAGAGACAGATACTTGCTACGATCACAGATGATTCTCTGTCATTGCCGTCAGCAGCGAATGCCAGGTTTAAAAATGCTAAATTTGTGATGGAAAGTCACATTTAAAACGCAAATTAAATGTATGATCTCCATAGGGGTGTCCAGAGGTGTTCTGTAATGACATTTTCAACCTCACACATACAGAGCGTAGTCGAAAGGGCAGGAAAAGGGAAATAAGGCCTAATTATCACATTGGTCTCCCCTAGCCGTTCAGGATTTATGCAAGCCCCAGGTGACCTGATCTCCTACATACCAAATCCTAATATGTTCCTGCCTTTAGAAAAGGGTGAACTGACCTTAACAACAGGGTTGCCTCCAAACCTAACTCGTCACTACACGTATGATCTGTTACGATATTTATTCTTTTTTTTCCTTGGGGCCAAATAAAATCATTCAGCTAAAGTTCTGAAAGTTTTTTTTTAAGGTCATGTTGCACATCCTGCAGGATTTTAGGTGAAGTTAGGTTTGGAAAAAAATAAATCAATAAAAGCTGCAAAAGCTGCAATTTCCCAGCAACTAGAAGTTAATGTTCCTCAGAAGAGGCTGGACACTGGAAACTCACCACTGAAGTCACTGTTGGCCAGTCGTTTCAATGCGATCTCTGACAGCTGGCTATGGTCTTTCCCTGTCAGCAACATCTCCAAAGGCTTAGACGAGTCCTAAAATGAAGGATAGATGAGGGAGAGAAAAAAAACACAGGAAGGAAGGAAACAGATAGGAAGGGGGAAAGGAAGTGAGGAAGGAAGTAAAAAGGAAGAAGTCAATTGAAGGAACAAAAACAAAAGAAAAGTTATAGAAAGGAAGGAAGTGAGGAAGAAAGGAAGGAAGGGAGGGAGGAAACAGACAGGAAGGAAAAGAAAGGAAGTGAGAAAGGAAGGAAGAAGAAAGAAGAGAAATGAAGGCATAATAAAAACAAGGAAAGTTATGGGAAGGAAGGAAGGAAGGAAGGAAGGAAGGAAGGGAGGAAGGAAGAAAGGAAAGGAGGGAGGGAGGGTGGAAGGGTGGAAGGAAGGAAGGAAGGAAGGAAAGAAAGGAGGGAGGGAGGGTGGAAAGAAGGGAGGGAGGGTGGAAGGGTGGAAGGAAGGAAGGAAGGAAGGAAGGGAGGGAGGGAGGAAACAGACAGGAAGGAAAAGAAAGGAAGTGAGAAAGGAAGGAAGGAAGAAGAAAGAAGAGAAATGAAGGCATAAAAAACAAGGAAAGTTATGGGAAGGAAGGGAGGGAGGGTGTAAGGAAGTAAGGACGGAAGGAAGGAAGGAAGGAAGGAAGGAAGGAAGGAAGGAAGGAAGGAAAGGAGGGAGGGTGGAAAGAAGGGAGGGAGGGTGGAAGGGTGGAAGGAAGGAAGGAAGGAAGGAAGGAAAGGAGGGAGGGAGGGAGGGTGGAAAGAAGGGAGGGAGGGTGGAAGGGTGGAAGGAAGGAATGGAGGGTGGAAAGAAGGAAGGAAACAGACAGGAAGGAAAAGAAAGGAAGTGAGAAAGGAAGGAAGAAGAAAGAAGAGAAATGAAGGCATAATAAAAACAAGGAAAGTTATGGGAAGGAAGGAAAGGAGGGAGGGAGGGTGGAAAGAAGGGAGGGAGGGTGGAAGGGTGGAAGGAAGGAAGGAAGGAAGGAATGGAGGGTGGAAAGAAGGAAGGAAACAGACAGGAAGGAAAAGAAAGGAAGTGGGAAAGGAAGGAAGAAGAAAGAAGGGAAATGAAGGCATAAAGAAACAAGGACAGTTATGAGAAGGAAGGAAGGAAGAAAGGATATGAAGGATGAAAGAAACAAAAGCAAAGTTATGGAAAGGAAAGTAAGAAATAAACAGGGAAGAAAATAAAAAAGTGAGGAAATGAAAGGAAGGAAGCGTCGAATGAAGGAAGGGAACAGAAAGGAAGGAAAAGAAAATAAATGAGGAATTAAGGGAGAAAGAATATAAAGGAAGAATGAAACATTAAGAAAACAAGGGCAAAAAAATCATGAATTTAGAGAAAAAATAAATATTAATGTCTTTTTTTTTTCTCGAAATAAACAATTTCATGATGTGACATTCAGAATTTAAAAAGCATCAAAGCCAATAAAACATGCTGTCTTTTACTATTATAATGCATTTAAAGGACAAATCCATCCAAAATCAACTTTATTTCCAACGACACGACGTCTTACCTGTGCTGAAGAGTGATGATCTGAGGAGTTGTGCTCGATTGATTTCAGGGTGCTGGCGAGAGTAAAAGAAAAAAAAGTGTACGTATTAAATTAACGGTGCTACAAGCATAAAACATGTCTTCACTTTCCGTTTCAGGTCAAGAACTGAAAGCTCGGCTCAGCATTCGTGAATCGAAACATTTCTGACACCTACAATCACGTTACCCGAATGAACCTGTGTGCCTAGCTGCACTCAACCCAGCGCTGATCTGTTATCTATGGATTAAACAGGACCATTTTCAAAAGCCTTTTGGGTGAAAACACTCATTATATCACAGTGGAATGTGCCTCGAGTAGACAACAAGCTATCAATATACATTCAGCAAAGCGGCTTTTTAGGCCGATCATCAGACAAGCACGGATCTTAACAACACCCTCTATTCATGGATTACTTGCTTTATAAGTCCCAATTGGGAATATTACGCCTAAAATCGAGTTATGCAACGGACAGCCAGACATCTCCCGGACTCTCCCAACACACACACACACCGATAGCACAGACGAGCAGCCGAGCCAAAAACACACACATCACTCAATTAGGTTATCGCCGATGCAAACTACGTTAGCCTCCTCATTATAGCTGTGGCTGGAGATGAAACGCAGCAATCGCTCAGTCCTGTGCAGAAAACACTCCGACAACAAAGCGCGCTTAATCCGCTTTTCTCAAAAATAAGACCCAATACTCCTCGCATACCTAAGGTTCTTTGAATTTATTACACAGAAACGGAGATTACCGCAGAGTAAAATTCCTTCTGGTAAAATATGGGAATAAAAGATCCTGGGCGGTTCATATCTCAGCTGGCTGTACTACATCAGATCAAATTCAGTACGTCTGACTGTAAAGTTCAAGACCACCAGGTAATGAGAACTCATAGCTCGAGCCCTGCAGCGAGGAAGGATGGGAAAGATACATGCATAATGGAGAGGCAGATAAAGGTTAAGAATGGTCTGAGGGCCTGAAATTATAAAGGTGGACAGAACATGACCAGATCAGGTCACTCCAAGCAAAACCTTTGCTTATTTAGACCCACCATACAGTCAAATCATGGTGTTACGTGCTTGGATATCACGTTTAGGTTGATGCAACGTTCCCCTCAGAGGTATAATGATGTTAATGATGCTAAAATATTCACGCGTATGAGAAGGAAAAGGCTAAAGCATCAGGATTATTTTTGCTGACAGAATTAGTGCTTTAGAACTTACCCGAGTTCTCGTTTGATCTCCTCGTAGTCTGACTGCTCTTGAAGCTTTTCTTCGAGATGCTGGGGAGGGGAAAAGGCAGATATACTCATTTAGAAGCAAAATTGTAATGTGAATCAGTGTTTTTATACACTGAAAATGCATAATGTTCACTTTAGAGAGGCACTTTAAATCAATATTCCGATGGAAATTCGGTCAATTTACTCTTTTTGGAGATTGATAGACATGGTCATAATGAACTTAAAGAGCTGCATAGAGGATCTTCCAAAAATGTTCCAGCATACGAGTTTGGGATAGGTAAGTAATGGCAGATTTCTTTTGTGGAATATCCTTATAATGGGCTCAGAATACATAGAATTTAAACAGATACAAACCATAAATCATGTCTTTCCCATTTAAAAAAAAAAGTATTATTATTGATGATAAAATTACAAATAAATTCAATTAAAAATGAAACTGAAACCACAATACTTTTGTTGATGTACAACACCGTTCAGAAGTTTGGGGTTAGTCAGACTTAATATTAGTCATATTTTAATTCAGCAAGGATGCATTAAATTGATCAAAAGTGATAGTAGGAATACTTATAATCTGACAAAATATTTCAAATGCAAGCTCGGGAATATATTATATTTTAAAATATATATATATATAAAAAACTGTTCCTTTAAATTGTAATAATATTTCACAGTATTACTGCTTTACTGTAATTGCTTTTTGGTGAGCAAAACTATATAACTGAAACACACGGTCAAGTCACTCTGGATAAGAGTTTTGTATAGATATTTTTTTTCCATTCTCATATATTTTAAACTGTAAATATTACGAAATGAAGTGTACAAATTTAGCTATTTTGTGCACATTTATTTTTAATGTTTATTTGCTATCTTTAAATTGCTATATACTTCGACTTTATATCAGCCATTCTGCTTTCTATTACCACTATTCTGTATGTGTGTGCGCTGAATGAATCTGGCCACACTGCACATGCAGGACTTGAGTCTGCTAAAGGCAGGGCAGATCAGAGCAGTCTCTCCGTGTGAGGCTCAGCGAAGGCTTCGTCTCAGCTCAGTCTCCTGCCATCCAACCAGCTGTCATTCAAACTCGAAACATTCACTACATGGGTCACATGGCTCGTGTGAGCCGCTGCAACATTTACAGGCCTGTCCTGCAGCCGCAGAGCAGAGATCTGACTGCTGCCACGAGCAGGACCATTCGCTTCATCCAACATGAAATGTCGAGTTGAAACAGCCCGTGTCTGGAGTCCAGTGTTAATGTGACTTTAGATGGGTCCATAATGAACCACCAGGCTCATTCACTTGTCCTTGTATCAGCTGTTAGCGAACTAAAGAGGAGCTTATGTATTAATGAGGAAGGCTGTGAGGTACAGTGGTTCATGTAGGTCGAGTTCAAGTCTTGAGCAAGACACCTAACCCCTTGCATGGCTGACATCGCCATCGGTGTATGAATGAGTGACTGAATGGGTGAATGTGAGGCAAAACGTAAAGCGCTTTGGGGCCATTGGGTCTGTGAAAGCAGTCCATTTACAGTTACCACAGTCAAGGAGTGCAATGCAGGATTTTTTTTTACAGCACTAACACTCTAAACACAAGATCAGAGTATTCAATACTGGCTGGAGGGCACAAATTATGCCCTACTTGACATATTACCTATATTTGTTATTAATATGCTTCATATTAGGCACTGGTCTGACTGACCTTTAGTACGGCCTCTTTGGAGCTCAGCTGCTGCTCAAGCTGACTGATCTGATTGGTGGAGGTCTCGCTGAGCTGGGCCAGACTGGCCTGGAGTCTTTGAACATCCTCTGCCAAACGCTCCACCTCTCTCTCTTTAGCACCCAACTCTGCCTCCAGACTGGTGGAAGATAGCGCCTCCAGAGACTTATCCTGTACACACAGAAACACACATTTTACAAAGCTGCATTGGCAACGTAAACGGTAACACTTCCTGTGCGTTTTCCAAGCAGTGCAATGGGAATTACTATTCTGTATAAAATGTGATATATAATTACACCTGCCTTGTCAACCATGTATATACTGTATAAGCATCATAATTAGGTATTTTGAATGCACTATATTCATAACACCCTCTAATGTACATTGACAATTATTCTTGTTATTACAATTAAAATATAACAGTATTATATTACTTATGATTAATTATGTTTATATATTTAATGCTATAAACATTCCTTTTGCATAATTTATTTGCAAACTATAAATAAATGAATATTCAAATGTAATTAATAATCATACAGTAGTCAACATTTGAAGTGGATCAAATACAATGTGTGTGTTTACACTAAAAAATACACTATACATTAAAAAAAATTATACTAGCTACACTTATTTACAATGGTATTGTGAATGCATAATGCATTAGGAATATCAGGTATTATAACATTTTTTTTTTTACAATTAATCATGATTCAATTATCTTTGAAAACACTAATCTTTTATTAAATAATATTATTAAGAACAATTACAGTATTAATCAAGATATAATATTTACAACAACACTCTGAATGCCAATGCACTGGGAATATCTTCATAATGCATTATATATATATTTATATATATATATATATAGGCTTCCTGGAAAGTGTTCCCACCATTACCATTCCCTCTTTCTGCCCTTCTCTCTACAGTACAGGCATGCAGAGAGTCACTCTTACCGTTTCCGCTGTTTTCTCGATCTGATTGGATGGTTGCAGTGTCTTGCCAGCTGAAGTGAGCTGCTCCCTCAGACTCACAGCATCCCTCTCTGCTGCCTCGGCCCTCTGTGGGCCACAAACACAACAAATGGGTGAAAAATTGCCATGGTTGAGGATTCATAACCATTATATCAACTGACGTTTATGACTTGTGAAGACTGGGAGCTAAAAGATCACAGGCCTGGTTTTATATGAAAAATGTTGAACTGAACTCACACTTGGCTGAGTGCTCTAGTATTCAAGCTAAAGTGTGTCAAAGTATGTACGGTTGGTTGATTCACACAATATGCAAATCACTCTGAATTTATTTTAAATAAAGATTGTGGTGTTAATTCATTTGTTGCCCTAGAATGGATCCCTGACCTAAAGACAAAGGTCTGGATTCATGATGAGACTTATAAAATATATATATAGTGTAAAAGCTGCTTAAAGCGTTCAACCTTTAGCTGCACCAAATCCAACACCACCATCTTTATGCATTTATGGTAATGACAAGCTAAATTATGCAAATGTATTCTAAACGTCTACGTAACAAGTCTTACCAAATGTTCTTTTTTTCTGTTGATTGGAATAATAATGCTAATGAAAACAATGATTATAAACTTTTTACTCGGGTGTTTGTTTATTGCTTGCCCTACATTTTCAAAAACATAAAAGTGTATAATTTTTAGATAAGCAAAGAGCTTACAAAACTTTTGAGTATTTTAGCAAGAAATAAGTCAAGACGAAATCACAAATAAATACAAAATAAAACAGATCTCTTTCCCAAACAGATAAGGTCAGAAAAGCAATAGACTGATGATAAAACAAAATCCATAAAAAAGGCAAGAGATTCTTTATATTGCATCACATAAAAGATCTGATATTCATTTAGATTTAGCTTTTGGGGCTCACAGCTCAAAAAAGTGAAGGCAATGATGGATTTCTTCCAAAAGGAAAGCAGGGAATTAGGATGTGTAGAACTTGGATATATGTGACTCCAATGAAGTTGTGTGATAATAATAGAAATTTGCAAACTAGCACGACAACTTCCATACAGTCCATTAGACCGGAGGTATTAATAAAAAACCTAAGCAAGCTGTTACTGTGTCTTAGATTTGCATACAATAGAAAAACAAGTCACTTTTCCATGAGGAATACGGCCTTTACCTGATTGGCTCTTTCCAAATCTGTCATCACCGCTTCAATCTCATTGGCCCTGAAAAATGAAAGCACACATTACTTACGCAGGCAGGAGGGAAACGCTAGCGCAGATTTGTTGCAGTAAAACACAGTGATGCAACATATCGCAATGCAATAAAATGGGTCATGTAAAGAATGGACCAGGTGGAAAAGAAGACCTCATAAACATAAAATGGGTAATCAGCATCTTGCCTCGCTTCTGCGCCGCTTGCGTGTGTGCGTATGCAATTATGAGCAGCTAGTTGTGTTCGTGAGGGCATTCATCGTGAAAACATCTGGATGTGTGTGTGTCGTCGTATTAAGATCAGCCATTTCGGTTGGACTTCCATAACCCCGTCATGCATGTGAACACTTGCACACTCACCCGTATGCACACTGAAAAACACACATACACACTACAGCGCGCACGCAGGGCCATTAAGCCCTCTCGATTTCACAGTAATCCGCTGGACTGTGAGCTGTGTAGCCCAGCAGTGGGTTCACGGCTCAGCCACATGGACAAGCCCAGGTTAAAACAGAGGGATTACACTAATATAGGCCTCAGACTCCTTTTAATGCACACTAATCTGATATAATATTCTCAATTCTGCTAGCGCGCAGCTCAGCCCAGCAAATGGCATGGCTTAGGTGTGTAAACACAACTGCTTTCAATAAAGGTTAACAGTACTTTATGTACCCATTACACATTCATCTCAAATGAGTGTAGTTTTGCCACTCAAAAACAGCTTTCAAACATTGATCCTTCTGTCTGGAAAAATGACAAAAGTCTTCCCATTGCTAACACTGATGCTAACTCTTCTAGTAAATGGACTGTTTTAATATGCGAATGGAGAAAAGGGACAGAAGTGATTGGGATACAAGTTTCTTGAAAACATTGTGATCCAAATCCATAGTCAAGGCTCTATTAAGGTTTAGCTGGTTAGCATGCCTGTTGCTAAATTTAATTTGATTATAAGTGTATGTCTTTATTGATGACAATTTGCTGCCCCTTTTGCATATAACGTACCTTCAAATATTTCATTATCTTTCAGATGTTTTCCCACTGCATACTTAACATTTACAGCTCCGTTTTTGTTTGATTTTGTACCACTATCTTAACCAAATTCAAATCATTCTCAAACAATGTGTTGTAGCATGTGTGCTAACTGCTAGGCTACAGCTCAAATCATTGTCAAACATTAATGTGTTGTGCTAGCATGTGTGCTAACTGCTAGGCTACAGCTTCAATAAATCTGTTTTTGTTTTGATTTTATACCACTATCTTAACCAAACTCAAATCATTGTCAAACATTAATGTGTTGTGCTAGCATGTGTGCTAACTGCTAGGGTACAGCTTCAACAAATCTGTTTGTTTGATTTCGTACCACAATCTTAACCAAATTCAAATAATTCTCAAAAAATGTGTTGTAGCATGTGTGCTAACTGGTTAGAGCTTCAGCAAATCCATTTTTGTTTTTGATTTTGTACCACTATCTAAACTAAATTCAAATCATTCTCAAACAATAATGTGTTGTGCTAGCATGTATGCTAACGGCTAGGCTACAGCTTCAATAAATCTGTTTTTGTTTTGATTCTCTACCACAATCTTAACCAAATTCAAATCATTCTCAAACAATAATGTGTTGTAGCATGTGTGCTAACGGGTTACATCTTCAGCAAATCCATTTTTGTTTTCGATTTTGTACCACTATCTAAACTAAATTCAAATCATTCTCAAACAATAATGTGTTATAGCACGTGTGCTAACTGCTAGGCTACAGCTTCAGGAAATCCGTTTTTGTTTTGATTCTGTACCAGTATCTTAACCAAACTCAAATCATTGTCAAACAATGTGTTGTACTAGCGTGTGTGCTAACTGTTAGCCTACAGCTTCAACAAATCTGTTTTTGTTTGATTTTGTACCACAATTTTAACCAAATTCAAATCATTCTCAAACAAAGTGTTGTAGCATGTGTGCTAACTGCTAGGCTACAGCTTCAACAAATTTGTTTTGTTTGATTTTGTACCAAATTCAAAGAATTCACACGTGATAACGTGTTGTAACGTGCCAACAGAACAGCTAGACTACAGCTTCAAAATAATCTTTTTGTTGTTGTTGTTGTTGATTTTGTAACAATTCTTACCAAACTCAAAGCGTTTTCAAAGCGCCCAAAGCGTAGCATATGGGCTAACCGTTAGGGTGCAGAAATATTAGCAAACTTTCTGCAAAGTTATTTGGGTAAAAAAGGTCCATCGTCTATTGACAATAGTCTAGCAATGTACGAAGCACAGCTCACACAAAAGTCACTTTAAATCAAGCAGCTTTCTGTTGGTCAACACAGTGAATCGGCATGACCAACTTGAACTCATTGCGAAATCTGTGAGATGAATTCTTGCACCTATCAAGTGGATTCCTACTGAAATAATTGGATTTTGCATGCGAAAATGTACTAAACAATGGTAAATGTGACAGCACCTTTATGCTAGTACTCCTTTGTTTTTTATATTTATATTTAATCATTTATATATTTATATGGTTTGCCACAATCATAACCCAACTCAATGCATTTTTGTTTCATTTTGTACTGCAATATTTAACATCTCACACGTTTACACAATCTCAAAATGGTCACACACACGATATTGTGTTGTAGCATGTGTGCTAACTGCTAGGCTACTGTAGCAGTTTCTGTTTGATTTTGTACCATTATCTTTACCAAATTCATAGCGTTTATACTTGAAGCAGCAGAGCTGATGCTTGTAGCCAGATCTGAAACACACGAAGTATTCAACCAACACATTATCTTTCATCAAGTGAAACTTTTTGTCCCACATACTGAGCTCTTAATTTGATAAAAGCACTTGCATTATTTCTGTCACCCACTGTACTCTCCCCTCGAACGGTTTTCCCATTGACATTTCTGACCATGTGACTGCAAACTGAGAGGAGTCAAGCACAGCTGAAATTAATTCAACAGCCAAGCTTAATTAGAGGCGATTTGGTTTAATGATTCAGATGAGCTTAACTCAGCTTTGTGCGCACTTTTAAGCGCGTGACTCCGGCGTCTCATGGATGATGCTGCGTTGGAGTTTCATTGTGGCTGAAAGTGAAGAGCGCTGTGAAAATACTACGTTTCAAATTGTTATTGAAACATAATTATTCACTCCAATTATGATGGCTCTCTAACATCAATGTGAAACCCTATTCACAACCCATTTCATTTCTGTAATGTGACATTTCTGAGCAAAACAGGATATTTAACAAGAAAAAAAAAGGTAGGACAGAACTTGAGGTTATCCACTGGGAATTAATTGGATTGTGAAAAATGTGCACAGATGAATCGTTCACAATAAGAACAGGAACATTTACAGAAACTGCTCACCTTGACTTTAAAAATTTAAATTTTCAATATAAATGTAGATATTTAATAATTACAGTAAAGATTTTTTTTTTCCTCTGAGCTTTACCAAATCCAAAGAGTTAAATATAAATCATTAAATAAATGTTAGATCAGGATAGATTTGGGAATTATGGAATATAATACTCTTTTAAACCTAACAACTGCAGATCAGAGGTTTATTTTATGCATTAACAGTGTCATGATCTCGTCATGGCACAGAATACAAAAAATACAATCCCTCTTAAATACAGTGTAAAGAGCCACTCATTCTTTCTCTCGCTCACACACACACACACACTGTGAGCGAACCTACATAACCTAATCTCCACTCATTTTTGCTCTCGTCAGCTCGTGTTCACTCCCTCCTTTATGGGCCCCACTGTAAAAACACATTAAACGATGACCTTAAAGGGGCCATATTCGACACTTTCGCCGTATTTCTTTTCCGTGAATCCACTTGTGTTAGTCAATGTTTCTTGCACTGAAAACAATCTTAACTTAGTGTTACGCCCTCTCTCTGACCCTTATATTTAAACAGACTGTTTTCGCTATTGTATCTTCAGGAATTCTATATGCAAATTAGATCTGTTGCGATTGGCTGACTTCTGTGTACTAATGTAGTTCACAAATCTGCAACTTTGTGCAGTTTTTCTAGATGTTTCAAGTGGACTAAGGAAGTGCATCAACATTGTACATTGAACTTGCATTTCAAAAGCAGTAGCCGTTTTTTATGATACACTGTAAAAATGAATATGCTTTATCTAATCAAAAAAATTGTGGCAACAGATTACAAGCAATATTATTAATTAAATTTAACAAATTAGAATTGAGTAATAATTAATCAAATTGATTCCTTAAAAGTTAACCATTTAAAATGAGTAAAACTTACAACAACCAAAAAACCATAAATTGAAGTCACCATTATGGTGATAAGTGTTTGTTTTAGGTTTGTTTTAAAATTATGGTTTTCTCCTTCAGTGATTCTGCTTGTTAACATCTTCAATGTTGCCAATATAAAATAAAGAGTTCTCAATTAATCTTTGACGTCTGTCTGTTACATTTGTTACATTTTTTGGTATAAACTTTACTCATTTTAAATGGTTAACTTTTAAGGAATAATTTGATTCATTATTACTCAATTCTAATTTGTTAAATTTAATGAATAATATTGCTTGTAATCTGTTGCCACAATTATATTGATTAGATAAAGCATATTCATATGTCCCCATTAAAGATGAAAAGAAACTGCGCATGACATGCGTAACTCCCATCGGAGCTCGGCCTTCAAAAACGGCATGTTCTTCATCAACTCGGACCGGGGGCCAGGGGTTATCTGCGAGATCATTTATTGGGATAATTTCATCTTCACATGAACACGCTTGGATGTGGGAAAGTCCAAAGAAATAACACTGTGAACGTAATCCAGGAACATATAAACATGACTTCTTTTGTTATTCCACGAGCTACCGCTGATGAATAGAGCGTATTAAACACTTACTGCTTTTGATTATTGTGTTTGGTCGTCTCGGGCCTGATAAATTATGAGAACCAGCTGCTTTGATTCTGACCTTTTCCATCCAGCATGGCTGTCAGAAAGGGGAGGTTAACTCGGCGCTCGGGCGAAGCTAGCGAGAGA